CTTAACTGCGTCGATTATCTCTTCACGTTGTCCTTGTACAATCATCATCATCTTGTCGTGGCACTTGATCCAGAAGCCCGTGCTTCACCTGATTGAGTGGCCCTTGTCCTCAACTATCTCTTCTCGGCTCCACTCTCTTCTCCTTTTTTCGGGTTTTGTTTAGTTTTGACTGTTGTGGTTCACAATGCAGGTTAATTCGTGGCACGGTGGGGTTAGGGTAGGGTTGGGTAGCGACGGGTTAGTCGGGGCACGGTGAGGTTAGGGCTGGGTAGGGTTGATAAGATAGTTATGTATTATGTAAAAGTAGGGTTCGTTGGGTAGTGCGTAGAAGAGCATAAGTTACTGGTAGGGATGTTAAAGTGATTTGTGGCACGGCGGGGTTAAGATAGGGTTCAATATGGTAGGCTTAATATGTTACTTATAGAGTAGAGTAGGGCAGATTGGGTGATGTTTATACAGGGTGTGGTAGGGTTATTAAGACAGTGGTAGGCAGGATAGGATTGACAGGTTAATGATCGGCTAGGACAGGCTAGGGTCGTTTGGTTAGTGATAAAGCAGGGTGGAGTAGGCTGGATAACCGTCTTTACCGTGTCCATATGATGATACCTGACAATGTAATCCAACAAAAACTTATATTATTGTGTTCTACTACAGTATATATTTTATATTACTGTTTTCTTACTCTAGTATTAGCCTGCACTATCTAAATCAACTATAAGTGATCTATGTCGTTCATACTATCATGATTTCTTCTTTACATATTTTTGATTTTTTGTGGTAAGGTTTTTACTGTATAATTTAAAAGTTTTAAAGAGAGTATCATGCTCAACCAGTTTTTGGAAACATTTTTTTAAAATTTCTTTGTAACTTTTAGTTCTTTCACAATTTATACATTACAATATAAAGCGTTGTAAAGTAATTTTACTAAACGAAAAGATATACGTTTTTAGTATAATTTGATTTACCTGCTATATTAACGTGGAATCGTATAGTGCAATATACATTATCGTACAGGTATATTTATATACTTGTTTTAGCTAGTTTTAAAACGTTTTTAGATTATTGTAACTATAGGTTAGTTAAGGGAATACAACGATTTGTAAAGGCTTAAGTTTAAGGATAGAGCTAAGGTTAGAGCGAAGACTAGTGCTAGGGCTATAGCTAGGGCTAGGGTTAGAGCTAGGGTCAAGCTTTGGACTAGTGGTAGGGTTAGGGATAGGGCTATAATGCGGTAGTCAAATAATGAAATAAAACCCACTTCTTCGTAGCCACAGTTGAAACTGGGTATTGTCATCAATTTCTGCACTTAAGTAATGAGATTCAGTATTAAATCTCTTCTGTACAATTCCAAAATTGTACCTGAAATATGTTAGGTAACGTTGTTATCATCTGGCAAATGCACTTTACCAACAGTTTGAAACCGAAATGTATCTTCTGAAATTGTAAACATTGTAGTAGTCAAACATCTATTCACGTATTTGGATTCCAAAAAAGCGGATATTGTAGTAGGCTTAGAATTAGGTTATATTATAGAAAGCTTGATGTTACGCTCTACTACAGTAGGCTATGTGAGTCTATATTGTAGTAGGGTTCAGAAACGTTTTCTTATAGAAGGATGTGTTAGCTTGTACTAAGTCATTGTTAAGTTGAAACTACAAACAGCCTACGTTACTTTTTTGAATATTTTGTTTTAAATACGAAATCTGAAGTCTTTGTATCACTATAATGACCTTTACCGCGAAAAATAATGTTTACAGCTGTTGAGGTTTCACGTAAGCTTCACATTTGTACTTTTTTAAATTTTATGTAGGCAAAAAAAATATATTTAGGAAAATATGACCTTTTTATATGACATTTTCATATTAGTTTAGATAAAAATGCTAAACCAAAAAATGTTTTTGTTGTTTATCAATTAAAAAATGGCATATTAAGGTACACACCTGGCCAGATTTTAATAAATTATGCCTTGCCTTGCCTTGCCTTGTCTTGTCTTGCCTTGCCTTGTAATGCTTTGCCTTGCCTTGCCTTGTCATGCCTTGCCTTGCCTTGTCTTGCTTTGCCCTGCTCTGTCCTACCCTGTTTTACCCTGCTTTGTCTTGACTTGCTCTGTCGTAATGTGATCTGCTATGCTCTTCCTTGCCCCGGCTCTGTATCCAGCCTTTGGTACCCAATCTTTCTCTTTGCAAATCGTCATTTTCGATTCAAGACCTAAAATGACATAGCCATTTCGTACAAATCCCGCCAATTTGTACTCGTCTTCTCAGATCTCCTGTATTCGAGTAAAATTAGAGACATTCCATTGACGTTAGGCTACAAAACGTAACCAAACACTATTAGCATACCGACGTAATGAACTACAACTCAGATTCGCCGTATCTGCGGAATGGAGCTTGTTAGTGTTAACTTGTACTTACATTGTTAGAGTTGACAGAATTTTGTGTTTGGGGCTACATTTTTCGAACTTAAATTTGGTTCTGATATTTTTATATACTGAGGTGTTACGAGAGGGTACTGTGGGTAGGAAGGGTACTGTAGTGAGACTTCTGATGCTTTTTTGGAAAAAATTTTTTAAAAAAATCAATTCTTGACAATTCCGAAGTGATTCGCTTAACCGGTTTGGCTTATGCGTCGGTTGGTGAAGCTTAGACTGCTTAGCTTCAGGCTTAACCGCTCAACCTTAAGCGCTTAGGTTTAGCTGACTATTATCAGCTGCTTAGCTTTGCAACATTGCATTTAAAAAATGGCATAAAGTTTGCTTTAGCATTTCTAAGCTGCCTCTGACCCCGAACTGGCATCTCATTAATTTTTCCCCCTGGTTTTGGGTGTATCACCTTCTCTAACTCTAAGCCTTATCTGTAGCCCAAACAAGAAAACTGGCATATTTTACCTGTTTTTAAAAGTTAAAAAAGGAAGAAGCTTAATGTTTCAACAATGTATTTAAACGCATTAAACCGCAAAATTTTTTTGTAGTTTGCCTCATGTTAAGCCTTTTACGGGTTTACAAACCGGCCCGGTTTCTTGTTTCTCGGCTTTGACTATATGAAACTACATATTACGACACGCTCTGTATAGGTAAAGCTTTTTATTGATATAAAATTACAGCAAAGTCGCGTAGTTTAGTACAGAAGTTTAAAACTGAATTTTAGGCTTAAAAATTCAATTTAGGCTTAAAATTTATTTTTGGTTTAAAAATGAAATTCTAGACATAAAAATCAGTTTTAAGGTTAAAAATGGATTTTAGGCTTAAAAAAGAATTTTTGGTTTAAAAATGAAATTCTATGCATAAAAATCAGTTTTAAGGTTAAAAATGAATTTTAGGCTTAAATATAAAAGTTAGGCTTATATACGAATTTTATGCTCTAAAATTGAATTTTGAAAAATTTTTAAAAAAATACAAAAACCAACTTATTGTACCTTTTATGTTACTAGTTCAAATGTAATTCATGTTTCGAGTTTTTTTGTTATTTACAAAAGAACTGGAAATGAAAAGGGAAAGCTTGCGCAATAAACGAAATTGTGGCCAATCAGAGTCGCAATTTTTTCTTTTATTCTTTAATTGTTTTGTTTGTTGTTTTAACTGTTCTGGTTTAACACTTTTGACAATTACAAGAATTAAAAAAAACTTTTTTTTAAAATTTTTTATTTACTTTAAGTTCTTACATTAGCCTTAGCTTTAGCCTTAGTTCTAACGCTAGTTGTTGCTCTATTCTTAGACTCAGCCTCAGGTCAAACACTAGTCTTAGCCTTAGAATTAGCTGTAGACTTGGCCTTAGGTTAAGCCTTATCTTTAGTTCAAGCCTAGACCCAAGGTCAAAACCTAGTTTTAACCTAGCCTTAGCTTTAGCTTTAGCCTTAGCTTTAGCCTTAGCTTTATATTCAGCCTACCACAAGCTCAACTCCAAGCCTCAGCCTTAGCTTAAGCTTTAGCCTAAGTTCCATCTTTGCTCTAGATGTGGCCTTTGCTTTAGCATTTGCTTTGGCCCCAGCCTTATCTCTATGTATTCACGTTGATGTATGTTTTACCACGTTCATTAGTTTAACCCTTAGGCCTTTTTTGTATATTTTTGTAACCCTTAGCGCTTCCAAATACTGTAATGACTATAAATATCCAAAAAAGGCCTTATTAACATTTACTTGGAACTTTGTATTCGTTGTAATATCTAGAAACTTGTCGAAATTTACAGTTTTTAATGTAAACATACGTGCAGAAAGCTAGGTTTTGTTCAATGTAGTCATTAAGTAATGTAGGTACCTGAAGATGTTCTTAACTATATATAAGATTCTGGTTAACTATATTATGTTATTATCACTAAAAGTGAAGATCTTTTTAAGGAGGTGGTGTTTGTCACGTTTTTGCTTTGAAATGTTAAGAAGTTTTAAAAATATCAACTTTTGTAAAGGTTGGTTTATGTAGGTATTGACTTTAGATGATTTTTTTGAAAACTAACATTTTGTAAGTAAGAGGTATTGTAAATTGGTATTTAAACTTCATAAAGTAAATACTAATGCATGCTTTTGCAAAATTCTATGTAGGTTTATTATTTTATGACAGAGTTATGGCTAATTGGAAAATGGAAAAAAAATTAAATTTTGAAAAATTATGTGGTTAGAGTGAGACTTATAGTACTTTTTAAAAGAAAGTGAGTATACTTACTTTATATTGATACGTACTTTTTATAAAGCAGATTACTAGGTATCTCCTTACAAAACTTTATGACAGTATTATAAAATTTGACAGAGTTATGGTCGATTGAATATGGCAAACTGTTTGATTTTTCATGTAAAATTTGACTTTTTTTGTTTTTAACTAATCTTAACTGTAGGTAATTAAAACCTTTTGCTCAACTTATAGGGACATATATGTAAAAAAATTTATATTTTACAAAACTTCTACAGCGAATTAATTTTTTTTTAAATTATGAAAAAAAAATTATTTTTTGGCATGAAAACAAAATTATTGTCCAGATTGCTTATGTGGAAAAATTTAAAAAAATACACTAATGTGCCTAAAATGGACTAGGTCTAGAAGTACAGATAAGGAAAAGACTAAAGCTAAAACTAAGGCTGAAGTTAATGCTAAAGCTAAGGCTAAAACTAAGGCTAAAGCTAAGGCTAAAGCTAAGGCTAAAGCTAAGGCTAAAGCTAAGACTAAAGCTAAGGCTAACGATATGGCTAAAGCTAAGGCTAAAGCTAAGGCTAACGATATGGCTAAAGCTAAGCTTAAAGGTAAAGCGAAGACTTTCTACTATTTTTGTAGTACTACAGTAACTTCTGAGAAATCTCATTAGTACCACATTAATATCAAGACCATTTCCTTATCAGTACAGTAACCGAATACAATCCCCTCGGCAAGTACAGTAACGCCCCGTACGGGATTCGGGGTAGGGAAAGGGGGAGTGTGTGTACATGGTTAATATTGGCACGCGATTATTTGAAGGAAACGAAAGGGGGCGTGGCCGGGTGGGGGGTTTCGAGACGGGTCAAAACGCGTTAAACGGGAAATTAAATCTCTCAAGTGAACACTTCACTTCAACGTGCTCATCTTCACCCATTAATTGACTTTAATTAGGATTCTGGAGCAAATTTTTTGCTTGTTTTTTGTGGTTTTGATATGTTAAGAGGCTATCAATGGGCCCTTAAAAAATGTAAAACTTTAAGTGGCAGTTAATATAAACTTTGAGTAGGGGTAGGTAGAGGGTTAGAGAATGTAAGATAGTGGGTTAAACGGTGTAAGGTGGAGAAGATTAAGCAGTGTAAGATAATGGCTTAGACAATGGAATACAAAAACTTAAACAGTGTAAGGTAAAGGCTTAAACATTGTAATATATAGAGCCTAAAGCAGTGTAAGGTACAAGCATCAGAAATTGAGTTGATAGGTTAAGTAGGGGAAGATAAAAGATTAAGTGGGGTTAAATGATAAGTATGAGGTGGTTCAAGACACTCAAATTATAAGAAAAAAGTTTTTTTCGCTACTGTTTTCTTAATGTATAGTTCTAGTCTTTACCTTACACTTAGCCTTATTTCTAGATCTAGCTTTAGCCATGACTTCAGCCTGGCTTAAATTCATCTTTAGGCTCAAAATTCATTTTTAGTTCTAAACTTTGTGTAAACTTGTGCTACTTATCAATTAAAAAAAATTTTATATGTTTGGTGTTGCTTTTACTGTTTTACATTTTTTTCTTAAAAATGACTTTTTATGTCATCTTTTTTTTATATTTAGGCTTAATTTGTTGTGCAATATGTTTTTGTAGCTTTTCCATGTAATATATGACCAATTTATGATAATTTTTTAATTTCAGCGGCCTTTCTTCAATTCCTGGCCAAAATGACGCACGAATCCAATCTGGAGCCTACGCCGAGTACCACCGAAAACGGTGCAGGTCTATTGACTCCTGCTTTGAACCAAACCATCTCCTGGGCCAATGGGGCGAACGCCGCGAACGGCGGCGCGGTCAATCCGTATTTCAACTTTGGCAGTGGTTACACTAATCCAACCGACTTTGGGTGGGTGGCTTTCTATATTACAGGGGATGCTGGATAAGGGGGGGGGGGGAAGATGTTTAAGGTAGGGACAGGGTAAGGGTGTTTTAAAAAATTTAAAAATTATTTAAAAAATGGCAAGAACCTTCTTTACAAAACAAAAATAGCAAGAACTTTCTTTACAATACAAAAAATGGCAAGAATTTTCTTTACAAAACAAAAAATGGCCGTTTATGACCAATAGTAACCAAGAACCGATACTGTAGCTCTTTTTGTATGCATTTCACAAAATGTGACGTAATCGTCGAAAATCGACTGGTAGCAGCTTTTATGGGGTTAAGTGTGAAACTTTTGTCACATGTTTGTCAATTCATTAGCAAACATTGCGTAATATGGAGTTCAACTTAGGTTTAGAATAAGGGTGTTTTACAAAAGAAATTTAATTTTTAAACTCTAGCTTGACTTTAGTTTTAACCCTAAGCTAGCCCTAGTCTTACGATTACAAAAAAAATTTTAAAAATTTATTTTTTATTTTTTTTTCAATTTTGAAAATTTTAATTTTAGATGCAACTGGAATTGGTCTGCTACTGACAACCGGTTTCAAAACAGTAAGTTTCATTTTGTTAAAAAACATTTTTTGTCATCAAAACATTTTGAACCAACCGTATTTTACGGTTGGTTCATTTTTTTTGTAGAACAGTAAGTTTCAAGTTACTACTGAAACTTACTGTGAAGTAAAGCGTAACAAATACTTTTAGAAAAATTAAAATTTATTCGGTATTTTAAAAAATTTAACTCAATTTTGACTTTTTATTTCCGTTTTACCAGACGAAGCGAATGAAAGTATGTAATTACTTTCACTACAATACCACATATAACTTCTCTTTTGTCGTTTTTTGAAGAATTTGCGGTAATTTTTCGATTATTTTCACTTTCGCCGACGAAAAATTTTGGTTTAATAACCCGAAAATGAGCAAAAATCGATTTTCAACAGAAAAAAAATTATAAAAATTTTGAAGTAAACTTACTTTACAGTAAATATGCTTTTTTATTACTTACAGAGTTTAAAATAGTCTTTGCGCCTTTCTCCCTTAGCCTTGTCCTAGTTTTAGCTTGACCGTTAGAAGTTAGGTTAGCCTTTTTCCTAGTCTGCACCTTATTCCTAACCTTACCTCTGGTCCAAGCCTTAGTAGTTTTAGTGTGAGCCTTAGTTTTAGTAGCCTTAACCGTAGCTCTTGCTTTAGAGTTAACCTCAGATTTAGTCATAGCTTTAGCTTCAGTATCCTTAGTTTTAGTCTGGACTTGAGCCTTATTCTTAGCCTCAGCTCTAGCCTTATCTCTAGCTCTAGCCCTAGACCTAGCTTTAGCCCTAGCTTTAGTCCTAGCCGTAGCCCTAGCCCTAGTCTTAGCCTTAGCTTTAACTTTAGCCTCTACCCTCATATTAACTTTTGCGCTAGCTTCTATAATCACACTGCCATTGTCACATTTAAAACCCACTATACTCCTACTGTAGCCTTACTTCATTATCCTTCACTTGTGTAGAAATTTAAAGAGATATCAGGCTATGAGAGAAAAAGTGGCCCAGGCAGGAGTCGAACCCTGCATCCTTCGTTTACCGGACGAATGCTCTACCTATTAAGCTACCGGGGCTCCTTCTCTCAAAGCCTTAATCTCAATCAGTTTCTTATCTATCTCAGTTGCTTTTTATATTGTTTTATCCGAATATTTAATCGGAATATTCGACACTTGATCATCTTCTACTTCCTACATTCACACTTTTTTGTACTAACCCATCTTTCCTCGTATAGAATGTAAAATGTATTACATGGTTAGTAGAAAAACCTCGAATCGTACATAGTAAAGACATCTTAAAGTACGTTAATGTTTAATGTTTGTAGGGTATAACACCACTTGAACTCGACTACATAAAACGTTGACAACAGTTTCATTTATAATAGACACATGTCGACTACAATACTTTAGTTTAGCTTTAAAAGTCCGTCGGGTGGTGTTGTAACTTTGATTTTTTTAATTTGAAAAAAGGCATTTTTGTTTAAATTGTCTTAAGGCACGTTTTGTAATATTTTTTATGCTTCGATAAACTTAGATTTCTTGTCTACAGTAGGCCTATAGACTAGAAATGTGTTTATCGTGTCTTGTGTTCTAGAAAAAAGTTCTTGCGATAGGAATGGAGCTTAGGCTTAAAAATGAACTTTAGGCCTAAAAATATAATTTTAAACTTATAAATAGTCTTTTCGGCGTAAAATAATGTTTAGGCTTTAAGATATATACTTAGACTTAAAACATGCACTTTAAATTTAAAATGAAATTTTAGGCTTAAGAGGTGCATTTTAGGCTTAAAACTTAATTTTAGGTTTTGAAATGAATTTTAGGTTTATCATGAAATTTTGAGCTTAAAATTAAAGTTTTAGGCTTAAAAAGTGCATTTTAAGTTTAAAAATAATAATTTAGAGTTAAATGACCAATTTAGGCTTAAAAGTAAAATATTGGGCTTAAAAATGATTTTTAGACTAAATGATGCATTTTAGGCTAAAAAATAATATTTTAGGCTTAAAATTGAATTCTGGCCCTGAGAAAGCCTTTTAAGCGTAAATAAATTTTGGCTTGCCATTACTGTATGTTTTTTTATTTCAAAACTTCTACTGTATATTTAAAGATACTGTAAAGAAAAAACGTTCGTTTTATAACATATAGATATCATATGCATATACGTCTACCACAAAATGTACCTATAATTATAACAAAAAGGCGTCTAGCAACGCCATTATACCATTACAAAAAAAACGACCATTATCAAAATGTACTGTAAATACGAACCTCTAAAAGTGCATTCGTTGGCCGCTTTTTTGTGGCCAAATACAAAATGAAGCCTCTTTTTTCCGAATTTATTAACTTTTTTAAATTCAATTTTTGACGCCAATCTCGTGGCCTCATTCGAGGCCTGTGCAAGGAACGTGGTGAGGTCGTCTTAGGAGGGAGAGGAGGGTTGGGCGAAGAGAAGGGAAAAAAAGGGGGGGGAGATGTTTTGGGAGGAAAGGAACGGTTGCTCTCTTGGAAGATGTTAGAATAACATAGTTACTTGTGAATGGTGTTCAAGTGTTTCAAAAAGTTTTCATAAAGGCTAAGGTAGGGATCAACGTGAGTGCTATAGGCAAGAGTAGGGCTAAGGCTAGAGCTAAGGCTGAGTTTAATACATGAAGGTTTACGAGGGGGGGAGGAGATTTTTTTTGTTTATAGAGAAGAGTAGGGGGGGGAGAATTTTTACAAAAACATTTAAAAACAGTTTTTTTTGTAGGCGTGGGTAGTTGGGTAGTATTTGAAAAGCCCTAGCCCTGCCCTATTAAAAGGCTTTGCACGGTGCAATAGCTCTACTTTTTCAACCCTGCCAATACCCTGCCTTACAATATATACACAACCCTACTTTACCCTACTCTACCCTAATTCACCCTACCTTAACTTGTTCTACCCTACCTTAACGTGTCCTACCCTACTCTCCTTTATACTAACCTACCCTGCTCTTTCTTACTCTACACTACTCGGCCCTAATTTTTAACTTTGCTTTACCCTACATCTTTACTAGTCCTTACCATAGCTTTTTTATGTCATTCTACTTTTAAAATTGACCATACCTTCCAAAAAATAAAAAAAAATTTTTTTTATTAAAAAATTTTAACAAATTTTCTTTCAGTAAACCGTTTCGGATCAACCACGATGGGTATAAATGGAATGGACGGCGCAGCCTCACCTTACTCAGCAGCTCTGAGTTTCGCGGGAGCAATTGGAGCCAATGGCCAGAGAAGGAAGCGGCGCGTTCTCTTCAGTCAGCCTCAGGTCCAAGAGCTGGAGAAGCAGTTCGCTCTGAAAAAGTATTTGAATGCCCAGGAGAGAGAGCAGTTGGCCGCGCTTATTGGGCTGAAACCTACTCAAGTAAGTTTTAAAGGTTTTTGAACTTTTGAATTTTAAAAAAAATTTTTAACTTCATGTTAGCTTTTTTGGTTTTTGAACTGTTCAAGGCTTTGAATATTGTTTTAGGTTAGGATTATAGGTTTTAGGCTTGAATTGAAATTTTTTGTTTTGCCAAAAACTTTTAAGCCTAAATTTCATTTTATAGCTTAAAAACTCACTTATAAGTCTAAAATTTATATTTAAGCCTAAAATATGATTTTTAAGTCTAAAATTCATTTTTAAGCCTAAAATATAATTTTTAAGCCTAAAATTCAATTTTAAGCCTAAAAGTTATCCTTAAGCCTAAAAATTCATTTTTAAGCCCAAAATTCAATTTTAAGCCTAAAAATTATCCTTAAGCCTAAAAATTCATTTTTAAGCCTAAATTTTATTTTTAAAATAAATTTTCATTTTTAGGCCTAAAATTCCGTTTTTAAGTCTAAAATTTTATTTTTATGCCGAAAAACGACTTTTAGTCGGAAAGAAGTAGTTAAAGCCTTATACCATTTCTAATCCCATTCCCCATTCCAGGTCAAAATCTGGTTCCAAAATCACCGTTACAAGTGTAAACGCCAAGAACGAGAGAACCGAATGTACAATGGGACCGGCTGTCACGATGAATCCCGTTCTCCGCACTCTTCCAACAATGGGTCACCTTCTCCAGACACCCTCTCAGTATCACCGACCACACAGATCAAGGCCGAGGTGATGGGAATCAAAAGTGAGGATCAGAAAGTGATGGATGCTGATATGAATGCATTGGGAATGGCAGGGACTGGCGAGTTCATGAGAGGCAATCCTGGTCTTTATAATGTGAGTTTTAGTTGTATTTTTAGGCTGGGGTAAAATGAAGGCGTGGGTAGGGTATGGTGTGGTATGGTAAGGTGGAGTAGGGTAGGGTACGGTAGGGCAGGGTAGGGCAGAGTAGGGTAGGGTAAAGTAGGGCATGACAAAAAAAATTTTTTTTTCAAAATTTTAAAATTCAAAAATTTTTAATTTCATTTTCAGTACCCCGGAGCCAATGTGTACAACCCGATACCAAACTTGTTCCTACAGCCCCAGAACTACAACTACAACCCTAACTTTTATCCGCGCGATCGTCAGTTCTAAAGCTTTTAATATGATCTTATAGCTTTATATAGTCAATTCAATCAACTTTTTGTAGTCTATATTACAGTACTATACTGTAATCTTAATCTAACTTTCTATACTGTAACTTTTTCTTGATTTCTACAATATTTTTTACTGTAGTCAAACTTCTTTTTTTTTGTAAAAATTCAATTTAAAAAAATTAAATTGCGCCAAATCTACTGTAACCTAGATAGTACTGTATAGATACTATAACATAAAAGCTAGTACTATATGTTTATATGGCTTTCAAACGTTTTCTAACAAGCGTGTTTTACTTTTAAAATCATTTCGTATACCACTGTCTTTTACTGACTTTCAGCAATTTTCACTACAATCATACTGTAGCTTTATGTGGGGGTACTGTAACTAACTGCTTGGGGTTACTAAGCCTAGGCATATTCAGCCGAAGCTTACTAAGCTTGAGTTTGGTAAGCCTAAGACTATTAAGCCTAAGCCTACTAATCCTAAGGGTACAAAGCCTAAGTCTAGTAAGCTTAAGCCTACTAAGCCTAAGTATAGTAAGCTTAAGCCTACTAAGCCTAAGCCGACTAAGCCTAAGTCTGCTAAGCTTAAGCCCAGTAAGCCTAAGCTTACTAACCCTACGTCGAAAAACCTATTTATATTTTTACAGTACACCCCAAAAAGGTACAGTATCCCTTCCTCAACACGGTCTCATTAAAACGTCCTTCCCCGATTCTCAAAACCCATTTACAATTACACTTTACATTGTTTATCAAAACTTTACTACCTTACATTACACTATGTAACCTGTCGACATCATTCCATTGTTAATCATAATGTAGTTGTACTCGTGTACTCTTTAGTCTCGTGCTTAGCATTTGTATAATAATTTATATATTTCTTCCCAAATCTTCGACTTATATTATATTATTGTTGTTGTAACTGGATTCAACAAGTAAACAAGAGCTTTAAATTTGGAATTGATTAAGGCATTACCGTATTCTATCTTATCTTATTCTACCCTAAATTACCTTATCCAACCCTACCACACCCTACACTACCCTACCTTACACTACCTACCTTACCTTGCTATACCTTACATTACCCTATCCAACTCTATCATACCCTACACTACCCTACTCTACCCAACCCTACCCTACCTTACCCTACCCAACTCTACCCAACCCTACCCTACCCTGCTCTACCTTGCTTTGACCAGCCTTGCCTTGCGCTGTCCTAAGTTGTCTTGTCCCACCCTACTCTCTCGCTATCCATAGTCTAACTCCTAGTCCAAGCCTTACACTTACAATGTATTAGCCTAACAAATGTAAGCCTATGGCTCAAAGTCCATTCCCAAGTATTTACTGTAGTAAAAAGTTATATTGCTTGTAAATTCTTGTGTATACCTCTATATGTTTCATATATTTCTTTATATTGCCTTATTTAACACCCTTCCGTAAATCCACCTTCATTCAATTGTGGCACCTTAATTTCGCGCTTCTTGGGAGACAATAGGCATGCAAATTGCGTGTATACGACCGGAAACAAACGATCGAAATAATAAATTTCAGCATGCCAACAGAGCGCCGTATATTTGAATAGGAGGAAACAGTGAATGGAATCCACTTCAAGTGGTTTTTTATTGTCAAAACTGCGGGAGTGTGAGGTCGACTACGGTAAATATTTGGGAATTCGATTTGAAAACTCAATAAACACAGGGCTTGAATCAGGAATTGTGAATGAAAGGGGATGGTAAAGTAAAGCAGGGATAGTGGAAATGGTATGGTAAGATAGGGCAGGGGTAGAAGAAAGAGTATGATAAGGGAAGGTAAGGGTAGAGAAAAAGGTATAAGGTAGATGCATATGGTTCTGGACTAGGACTTAGGCTAGGGCAAAAGCTAGTACTAAGTCTAGGACTGGGGCTACTGCTGGGGCTAGGGCTCTGGACTAGGGCTCTGGGCTAGAGCTCTGGGTTAGGGCTCTGGGCTAAGGCTCTGGGCTAGGGCTCTGGACTAGGGCTCTGGGCTAGAGCTCTGGGTTAATGCTCTGGGCTAAGGCTCTGGGCTAGGGCTCTGGGCTAGGGCTCTGGGCTAGAGCTCTGGGCTAGGGCTCTGGGCTAGGGCTCTGGGCTAGGGCTCTGGACTAGTGCTCTGGACTAGTGCTCTGACCTAGGGCTCTGGGTTAGGGCTCTGGCCTAGGGTTCTGGGTTAGGGCTCTGGGCTAGGGCTCTGGGCTAGGGCTATGCGCTAGGACTAGAGCCAGGGCTAGGGCCAAGGCTAAGACTAAACCTATATTCAAAATACAGTAACCTCACCTCAAATCATGCGGTAGACTTTCTCACAAAACAGTATAAATATTTAGTTTAGCGGGCTTTGAAGTCGGCGCAAACAAATTGGCTAATGTCATGAAACGAGGCAGCGCTTCTTGAACTACCTCAAACAAAAAAAGATTAGCTTGTGCGCCATATTACAAAGGGATGCGGTAAGTGTGTGCAGACGGGGTCAATCTCGGCTAATTTGGGCCAAATTAAAATATATGGCCATAAATTGAGCATAAACAAAAAATAGTTTTAGGCTTTTACAAATTTAGGTTTGTAAATAAAATTTTAGGGATTAAAAAAAAATCACATTAGGCTTAAGAATAATTTTTAGGCATAAAAATGAGTTTTAAGCTTAAAAATAAAAACTTAGGCTTAACAATAAACTTTAGGCTTAAAAATTAGGCTTAGGCTTAAAAGTGAACGATTAGGCTTAAACATTAAATTTTAGGCGTAAGAATGAAATTTAGGCTTAAGAACAAAATTTAGGCTTAAAAAGTAGACTTAGGCTTAAAAATTGAAAGTTTAGGCTTAAGAATGAAACGTTACGCTTAAAAATAAACTTTAGGCTTAAAAATCATACCTTAAGTTTAAAAATAAATATTAGGCTTAAAAACGAAACCTTAGGCGTGAAAATGAAATTTAGGCTTGTAAATGAAATTGTAGGCTTGAATGTAAAATTTTAAGCTTAAAATGAAGTTTTACTCTTAAAAACGAAACTTTAGGCCTAAAATTTATGTTTCAAAATCTAAATTTTAAAAACGAATCAAAACTACATTTTCAATTCAAAATTCTCATATATCCAAACCCCCTAAAACCTTCGAAAAATCCGGTTTATCTCGACGAAATCAAGGTAATCAAGGTGATTACCTTGAAATGCCGCCAAACACCCAACTTCAATGTCATTTCAAACCCTATATAAGTTGAAATCAAGTCTGATATCATCAAAGTCTTCTCGAAATGGAGACTGAGAAGAGCAGCACCATCAAGGTGCTCGGCTTTTTGGCCGTTGGACTGAGTTTGGCCGCCACTATCAGCTGTGTTCTTGGCATTGCCTTCATCGTAAACCAAGGCAATGAGATCAGATATGAACTTCACAGTGAATTGTTCGGCATGAAAGTGAGTTTTTGTTAGCTAAAATTCTGAAAAATTGAGTTTTGTTACCTAAAATATTCCAAAATCAAATTTTATTACCTAAAATAAAATGAAAATCATTTTCAGCAAGACACAGACTTCCTCTGGTCCAGCTTAATGTCCCAGTCCAGCCCAAGCCGTATGAAGCGTCAGTACGATAGCTACGCCGCTCCAGCCGCTTCATCGTACGCTTCCAACACATACGATGCCCCAGCTTCATCTGGCTTCAACTCCTACGCTCAGCCACCATCAAACCCCTACGCTTCGGCTTCAGCTGGCTACAACACTGCCCCACCATCCGGTTATGACGTTCCAGCTGGCTACGAATCTGGACCAGTCAAGGTGGGAGACCGAAGCTATGGTGCTTTCCAGCCGTCGGCCGCTCCGCCAGCTATTCAGTACTGCTCATGTGACGACTTTAAGTGCCCACCTGGACCACCAGGACCAAAAGGTGTGGCAGGTAAGGATGGAGACGATGGAGAGCCAGGTATTGATGGTGAAGACGGAGAAGAAGCGCAAGATGCTCCAGCTCAAGTACAACAATACGAAAAGTGCTTCCATTGTCCAGCCGGCCAACCCGGACCACAAGGACCACCCGGCCGTCCAGGACCACGTGGTATGCGTGGAGCTCGCGGTCAGCCAGGAGTACCAGGCAGAGACGGTCAACCCGGCTTCCCCGGCGGCCTGGGACCAGAAGGACCACAAGGCAGACGTGGTGAAGACGGCCCACAAGGACTGCCTGGAGAGGACACTGAGCACAAAGTTGGTTCACCTGGTCCACGTGGATCACCCGGACCCATTGGTGATATTGGAGAAGCCGGTAAGCCAGGCCCAGACGGTCCCATCGGCCCACAAGGACCACCCGGCGACCCAGGATTGGCCGGTAAACCAGGAAAGGATGGTGAACTGGGACCATTGGGAGAGCCTGGAGATGAAGGTGAGCCAGGTGCTGATGCCACTTATTGTCCTTGTCCATCTCGCAACGCCTTGGCTGATGCCAAAGCTGTAGCTACTGAGGCTCCAAAGGTTGAGACTACTACTACAACTACTACTGTGAAGCCAGATGTCGCTGTAAAGCCTAGTGGCTACGCTGTGAGACCACCTGTGTATCAACAAAAATATCGATCAGCTTTGAATGCTTATAGAAGAGCTAGACTATGATTATTGAGACGGAATTTAAATAAAACTCATTGATTTTGTATTTTTGCGGCTTTATTTCAAACCTGAAAAAAAAAATTCAAATTTTAAAAAAATTAAAATTTTTTTGAAATTTGAAAAATTTCTTCGAATTTTTATATTCACTATACCTAATCCTTTCTTATTATCCAAAAAACCTTCATCATTACAGTAGATCCGCCTAAAACCAAAAAATCGCAAAAATGTTACCTAAAATAATATTTTTCTTTCCAAAAATAAAAGATTTATTAAAACTTTAAGGTTATAAACCGGGATTAAAACTAGTTATTACATAACCATACAATACCATAGCTCTTTTATAAAAAAGTTACAAAAATAAGGTGAACAAAAATTTAAAAATCACAATAAAAGAGAGGTAACCACATAAACAATATAAACAGGAGAAACCCTTCAATAACATTAGAAAAACAGCATCATTCTATACCCGAGATATAGATCAAACAAAAAATTAGTATACCTTGCATAATAAGCTCAAAATCAAGCACTTCTGAGATCAATCAGGATATTATAGTAGGTATATGAAAAATATAGTTATAAGTAATATAACGGTAAATTTTAGGTCCTAATGAATAAATAAAGTATTCTTAAGGCGCTATGGATAATGTAAAAAAATAATACAAGAAAAAATTACTTGTTTTCCGGTTTTTGACAAATCCTTTCGTGACTCCGACGATTCGACGAATCCTTGAAGCAACGATGACACTTTCGACATTGGTAAGGCGCAGCATTACCTAAAGCATATAAATTAATATGGAAAAGGTCGTAGTAACATTGCCCTTAAGTTTCAGGCATCAAAATTTAAAGAAATTAGGAAAACCCTATTTTACGTATCATTACCTATCTTTTTAAGTTTACCTGACTAAAAATAGAAATATTACCTAAACATTCTTCACAAAAACATCTAAAGAAAGACTTCTAGCTTCTTCATAGATAAATTTTACTAACATAGCCATAAAACCTCATTTTAGACCGCATTTTAAAATGTGACCTAACTCAATATAACTCTTTCTTCCAACCAAACGTGAAACCTAAACTCAAAAAACAACAAAAAAGCTACAAAACTTACTATGAATGTTGATATGTGCCTTGATCAAGTAAAAACGTCGATTGAAGCCTTTGTTACAGACTGGGCAATGAAACTTTCCATCTTCTCCTCGTGGCAATTCTTCTAAATTACAAAACAATTCGGACGACTCTGTATTTCTAACAGGTGTGCCAGAAGTCGCAGAATCTTTGGCATGATGTTTTATACTGAATTGGCTTTGATTTGGGCTTCCAATTCCAGAATCCACACTTGTATTCGGACTCGATGTTGTGTTAGTCAATGACGCTATGGAAAAGTCGTGAGTACTGGCTGAAGAAGCTGGAAAATGAAGTGAAATAAACTTTTAAACGCCAAGAAGATACTAAACCTTGTTATTATAACTCTATATCAGCTAAGAAACATCAAGTTTTCTTGATCTAACATAATATAGCTGTATTTCACTAAAAATCGCCGATTTTTCGCCAAAACCACTATAAAAACCATCTTATTACTTTCCTCATACCTAAAGCCAAAACGTAAATAATCAAAAACCTAACTTACCACTAACATCCTTCTTTCCAGTTGAGGATTTATCAGTTTCCGTTGCATTTTCAGTGTTTCCAGCCTTCAACAACATCTGTTGCCACAATAATGGATAAAAGGTTTGTAACAATTGCTGAAACTGACCCACGGAGTTCATATCTATATTAGAATTCATAATATTTACAAGATTACAGTTGTAACAACGTAGTTGACGTACAATCAGAAGGTAAAACGACTAATTCGGTAATTCAGTCGTTGGCCGACAAAATTTTGTCAACGATGCATTTTATGGAAGTAAGGGGCGTTGGTGACGGATTTTTTGGACAAATTTTGTACAATAATGTTTTCCTATCTCTTGTTAATGAATTTGCTAGTTTTTTGGTGAATTGTAATAGGTTCCTCGTTGATTTATTAAATTTTGAGGTTTTTTTAGCTTTATTGGCATTTATAACATCTTTCGGCCAATTTACAAGGGCCTAATATAAGGTTTTCTTCTGTTTCAAGAACTTTTGTTGTTTTACTTTGTTTTGCAGCCTTAATATTTATAAACAGTAAGTTTTTTAGTTGTTTTACGGCGGTACTGGACTATATTATCCATCTTGAAGTTTCAGAGAAATAGATTGTTTTAGACCTGATATAAGTGAAAACATGAAAAATGAGCCAAAAAATGTATGTTCTACAATCTTTCAGGTCCCATAAGGAAAACAGATGAACTTCAATTCAATCCCACGATACGTTGTGTTTTTTTATTGTGTCGATGTTTAGAGAGTTCAATTCTGGATAACAGCTTCCGTCATGAGTGATGTCAACAACAATATCTCCTAACCGGTTTATTTGGTACGTTGACCTTTATTTCTGCTTCTCTAGGATGTTCTACTGCTTTACACGTTATTTTACTTTACAAAGTGGTTACCTATGATGAAATACAATTAAAAATGGCAGGGATTTATAATTTTCAACAAAAATTGATGTATGTCAAGTGAATTTCATTAACTATGTGAGTTTTTCATTGATTTATTGAAGCTTAAAACGGCACAAAAGCGCTTTTGTGTTAGCTGGGTTGATGGATTTGCGCGGAGGATTGTTAATAACAAGCCGTCTAGATTTTTGACCCGTTCTGTACTTTCACTTTTATCCGTTTTGTAATCACTATCGACTGATTAGAGCGTTGACGGTCAGTTAAGGGCAGTGTGTCAAGTGACTGTTAAGCTAGTTGTTCAGATAGATAATACCTAATCTTGGTGTTTTATATTATAGTAGGTGCTATTTGGTTTTGTTATTGTACTTTTTTCACGGCTATTGGATTCTGTAAAGCGCTATTGAAAGCTATATTGTCATTGTTGATTGTATTTCAAAGCTACGTAGTTATTTTTCATAGTATCTTTCATCTAATCGATATCTATTTTATACTACTAAAAATTCTCAAAAGCACTTTTTATTATCAAGTACCAGTAGTAGTACCAAGTGTACTAGTTTAGCTACTATGGCTATGTTAAAGTCCTCTATTGTGATATTGTTTTTGGTGTTCCGTCTATGCAACATTCGCATTGTTCATGGCTGTTTGGCGACTGTTCCAGGAGAAGGTGCGGGTACTGGTAAGCTTGCCTGCTCTTTATCTAGGTCTTGAAGATGGCGACAGCATTTTTTGTAAAATACGTGGATCCTCGATGTGTTTGAAAATATCCTGTATTTTATCAGCATCTTAAGTTAGGAAAGCCTGCAGGACGATATTATTCATGAGTCTATACCTCAAGATCGATAAGACCCGCCCTTTCAGGACCATCAACCCCTTCTAATGCATGTGTCGATGGGCCGACGAACACGGCCGGCATTACAATATATCAAATCCAAACCCAGAACATTTTCACATATGCCACAGCGACTGCTCATTGTACCAGTTGTCCTAGTGGTAGTCGACAATTTTATAATAGTGCGTCGACTGCGGACTATACTGATGCTCTGAACAATAACCAAGCCATCGCTACTGTGCAATGTGACACACCGGCTAATTTGTGTATTTGTCAAGCTAGTGGTACTTGTTGTACTCCTGGTGCAACGCCTCCCGATGAGGTTCATCTGATTCCGTATTGTTCTGCGGGGTGTAAGATGATTTTTTTTATTTTCATTAGGTTTTTCTAAATTCGTATTTTTTTAAATGAAACGAAAATATTTGACGTATTTTACGCTTATTTTCCAGCATGCCAAGTCTACGCCGTGCTTCAAGGCGCTGATGATGCGTCAATTATGTGTGGTGGTACCACATATACAGTACAAACTACAACCATGGTTAATAGTGGAGCTTTCCCAACGGCCGACTCGGTTAGTTGTAGTGGATGTAATCAGATCAGAAACGACGTTTGTCAAAAACCAATTGTCACTGGACCTTCTCCTGCTGCCACTGGGTAAAATGGTACGGGTACTAGTGTTTGGTCACTAATACTATTTTTTCCTGATGCTGCTATGTAAAATGGTACTGGTGCTGAGTTTTTGGTACACTGATACTATTTTTTCTTTCACGGTACTGTGTAATCTGGTTCTAATACTAGATTTTGGTACTTTTTCTTCTCGATTTGCGCTGTTTTTTCCTTGTCTACTGGTACTTTTTGTTTTACTGGTACTATTTCTTGGTCGTCTATTGCTACTTTTTGGTCCTTCTAGTCTTAGTTATCTTGATTTTTTAAGTTTAGATGACATCTTTATCTAAATGCCTTGATTTTTGATGACATACCTAATATGATATTCCTAATAATTTAATAAAATTTTTAATTTTTCAAAACTTGGAACTTTCAAAAATTGCCATTTCATCTACTGGGTTGGACTAAAAAAGCGATTGTGTTCTGCTAATTTAGCTTCCTTACGTTGACATAGTCATAAATATCTGCAGCACACTTTCATTGCAAGGAACGGTCATCGAAAAATGTTGCGATATTGCGGAAGCGGCGTTCACGATCATGTTTTTCCGAAAACGATCACATAAAAACTGTATGAACTGATTTGCAGCTGAAAATAACAAAAAAATTTAAAAAAAGTTGTATAAATTATTATATGATGAGTTTGCTTATTAATGCGTGGATGACGGAAAAGACAGTATGGAGGATAGAACTGAAAAGAGGCTGGAGAAGTTTGGAAAGGGTTGCCAGCAATTTGGGGCCTTTGTGCCGGGGCCAAACCAAGGTCTCGTGCGTAAGGCGGATTGAAAAATTGGGCCCGGTCTTTGTGAACTTTTGTCTTTTATAAGTTAGGCATCCTATAATACATAGAATGTATATCAAATCAAACTGTTGTATGATTACTACAGGCGATCCCTGTATTACAAAATTGTATGACCTGAACTTCCCTCCCTCCCTATCCCCTCAAGTGACCTTAATTACAAAATTTTTCATTTTTTTCTCGAATACCGTATACTCAATAGGTTGTTTTTGTTTACATTATAATTATTCTCAATCTCTGCAAATGAAATTCGCAACATTATACCCTTGCACTTCCTTGTTTTTTTACCCACCTACTGCAAAAAAAACCTTTTGTTTTTCTCCACCCACCCCCTGTATAAAAAATTGTTTTTCGGCTTTTTCTGGCGCTAAAAACAGCTTGAAGTATCGCAGTGAAATCGCAACTTTTTTACATGTTTTTGTTATCATAAGTGTAGTTTTTTCATGTGTTATATTAGTGATAACATTCTTCTCCATGCTTTTTCTTTTACAACCTACTTTGTCATAATTCTGATAAGGAAAATGAAGAATAGGGTTGTTCGAGAGTGGCATCAATCAATTTGCTACAAGGAACATAAATGTTGCGGTTTTTGGAGGTGGTCGTACGTCATCATGAGATGTGAGAAAGAAAAAATGATCTTGATGCTTAGTGTTTAGGAAAAAAAAATGTTATAGGGATGGTGAAAGTACTCTACTCTAGGGTTCAATGTTAGGAAATGGGCCGTGTAGGCGAGGACTGAGCTAAAGTTGAAATTTTCTTATCCTGTCCTGGCGCGATAGCTTTTTTTCATGCCTTACCCTAGCCATATTATAGCTTTTTTTCTTACCTTACCATGCATTTACTATAAGCTGCCTTAGGCCCAATTTTGCTTATAATATGACCCTACCGTACTCGATACCCAACCTATTGCAAGCGTTAACTCCTTTTCATCAGTAGCTGCTCTTACTTTGTATCTTCCCACCCCCCTCCTTCCCAAAAATATTTTCTCCAACCTCATCTTCTCCCTCCCCCCTTCCCCAACTAAACTTTCTCAAGATGCCCTCCTCCCCCGGTCAAGGAGTATACTACCATATTCTAACCTAAGCTTTGGGAAGATCCTGTATCGTCGTTGGAGGCTTTGCGATGGCGAAGAATCTCATTTTGGCGTAGAGGTTTTGAATCGGCGGAGGATTTCATAGTAACATTGAGGCTTAAGCTTTAAATTTTGAATAAAATGATCAGTGTTGTTATAGTATGGCTATGTACATTGATTATATATATTAATGCTGTAAATGCTTGTGGACCTACAGCAATGGCAGATGGATTAAGTGGCACTGTGCCTAATGGGGTGATCACTACTACTACTGAAGCACGTATGTTACTATATATATTACAGTAAGAGACGGTACTGTAGGGTAAGGTAGGGGAGGGTAGAGTAGGGTATGGTGGGGAATGTAGGATAGAGTAAAGTTTATTAGGGTAGGAGATAAGTTAATTTACAAGGTACTGTAGTACCACTGGGTAGGTTAAGATACTGTAATTCTAAACTGTAATAACAGCTATCAAAATCTTCTTTCCAGCCCTCCCAACCTGCACAACTTCAGAAGGCACGGCAGCTGTAATAATTGTAGGGCTGGAGATGGTGATGCATCAGTCTCAAGTAGCTGTCCATGCACAGAAGGCAATTTAGACTATTATGCAGGGGCTACAGGTGATAGTGCAAGTGATGTGGATGGAGAAGACCCAGATGCTACAGTAGGATTCTCGTGTGACAATCCAGATCAAACCTGCTTATGTAATGGTGATGTCTGTTGTACTATAACTAGTGCTCCTGACAATTTTGTACTGATCCCGCATTGTAATGGAGATGGTAGGTTTAAAAGTGATGGCAAGGGTTTGTTTATACGTTCTAAAATGCTGACAGGGGATTTTCTGTGAGAAGGGAGATGGGGGGGGCTAAAATATTATAGTGGGCAGGGGAGGGAATTAAAAACCTTACCTTTGCTTAGGGTAGAATAAAAAGTTTTTTTAAAGTTTAAATTTTTAGGTAGGCAAGAAAAAAAAATTTTTGGGGCGGGTAAGTTAAAAAAAAATTTTAATTAGTGCGGGGTAAAAATTTTTTTTTGTATCGGACAGGGTAAACATTTTTTAGGTGTGCTAGTGTATCAAGGTAGTGCTTTGAAATTCAAAAGACATGCCTAATCAACATTTTAGGAAAAAAAAATTGGGCGTGGTAAAAATTTTTGGGGGTGGATCTTCCCCTACCCATAACGAAACCCTTGCCTTATCTCACAATTTCAAAACCTGATGTCTAAAAAAAACTTGTTAAAATTTTCAGATTGTACGATGTATGTCAACCTAATAGGTGACAACAACCCAGATGCTTCAATGACTTGTGGTGGCACAACTTATGTTCCCCAAACGACCAGTACTTTTGAATCTGGGTCCTATTTCGCCGTTACTTATGTGAATTGTAATGGGTGTGGACAAGAACCACAGTGTTCGCCTGATCTTTAAAGTTCATATGCGACGTTTTTGGCCTTATCATGGTTAATATCGGGTTTTGTCATGATTGTTTGTTTTTACTGTATATACGTTGAGAATGCCTTGTAAATATGATGAACATTAAAAAAAATTGTTTTTATAATAGCTTTATTAAAAATATTTTAAAATTTAAAAATATTGCGGCACTTAAAAGTCTTGTCGTTTTTTAACGTTACAGCCTTATGAAAATGACGACATTACTTTTTCACACGCTAATAATGAGTAAACTGGTGTTTAGATGAGTTTTTTGATCAAAACGATTTTTTGAAAAAAAAATTGATCACTTTACACCAAAAAAAGTCAAAAAAATGACAAAGTTATAAGCTTGAAACACAATGCCAACTTGGCGGGAAATTCAAAACGTAATAGTATGATCTCGATTTTCTCGAGTTTTGCTGGAAAGCGTGACTCTGTATTTTGCTGAATATCTTATATTTACATGATCTTTCCACATAAAAATTTTAAAGTTAATCAGAGCATGGCAGGTCGGGCACTTTTCTTGTAGGCTGCAACCGGGCGCTGGGGGGGGGGACCTCAAAAAACCTTCCCTACCAGAAAAAAAAATTTTTGAAAAAAAAGTTGAACGTGGTCCACCCTGTGGTTTTTTGAAAAAAAATATTCGACCCCGTCCCCAGACCAAAAGTCCCCGCCCGGCCCTGGCTGCTCTAAACCTACCACAAAACTAAAAAACTTTAAAAACTGCCATAAAACCAAAAAAAAATTTTAAACCTACCATAAAACTAAAAAACCGAGACTACAAATCCCAAACTATCTGCCACTGTAATGTATGTTCAGCCCCGTTCCCCACTAACATAGAGAGGCTTCCCTTTTGACTTAGAAAGGCAGCATGTGCTATTTATGTTGACACACGATTAAATTTGTAGTCAGTTATTTCCAAATTTATTATCTGCACCCGGTGACGCATAGGGAATGTGCTGATCAAACAAACCCTGCCTTAATTTATCTGCTTTTTACAGAAAATTTACACCCCCAGGAAAAAGTTCATAATATGCAAACACGGTGGGGTTATTTAAAGACATTGGAATGTGAGGAACGTTACTATTTGGGCGGTGTTCCCACATTTCGACTGGCTAGGCTATTGGGCTACAGTAGCTTTTGAAAACGCCTGTTTCGTTGACTTTGGCTAGCGACTATACCAACACTGACTTTGGCTAGCGACTATACCAACATAAAACTTTGTCAAGCCTGATAACTACCACTATGATGTTTACCATGAAAATCTTGTTTTTTGTACTACTGACCGGATTAGCATACTCATTTGACGACGTTCCAACAACGATGAGTCCGCTGATGATTCACTCGATGCTAGAGCAAAACAAGTTCATACGGTATGTACAGGAGCTGCCAATAACAAATGAAACCAAAAATACCATGATGATGGTCGCTAGAATAAGGACAAGACTACCAGAGAATGATTACTATAATACTACCACGTTTTTGAGCTACATTGCGCAGTAAGTTTGCTTAAAATTATTTGGAAGCCCTAGCTTAGCCATTTCCTAACTATTGCCTAATCCAAGCCTAGCTAAAGCCTAGAATAGCCTAAGCCTAGGCCAAGACTAGCCCAAGTCTAGCTCAAATTTAGTACAAGCCTAGCTCAAGCCCAGCCTAGCCCTATCTTAGCCCAATTTTAGCTCAAGCCCAGACAAGGTCTAGTCCAAGTTTAGCCCAATCTGAGCCCGAGTTTAACCCAAGCCTAGACCAAGCCCAGCCTTGCCCTATCTTAGCCCAAGCCTAGCCCAAGTTTAACTCAAGCCTAGACCAAGACTAGCCCTAACCTAGACTTTGCTTAGCCCAAGCGTAGCCTAGCTTAGTCCAACCCTAGGGCAAGTTTAGTCCAAGCCTAGCCCTAGCCCAAGTTTAGTCCAAGCCTGCTCAAGCTTACTTTGGATGCAAAACCAACCCTAACTCAAAAACCAAATTTTCAGTTTCAACAAGGACTACAGCACGGAAAATGAAGCTAGTGTAAAATATGCCAACATACGAACATCTCTGGATAATATCGAGGAACAAAAACGTGAAAACCCTCAGGCTAAGTTTGGACTGACAATGTATTCAGACCAAACCAGGAACGATTTTATTGCTCAAAAAACCTGTGGCGATGGATTCAATGCTCATTATCAGAAGTGGAACTATTTTAGTCGATTTGGTAAGACAATTGCTAGTTTAATGAGGCAGATTGGGCTCGGCCCGGTGCTTTTACAGGTCTACTCTATATGACGTGTTAGGTTGTTCAATATTACACGTGTAAACTGATATATTATAATATAAAACCCATTTTTCAGTCGAAAAACCTCTACACCTATCAGACGTGACAATCCGAGCCGACGACTCCATCGACTGGAGAAGCAAAGGCAAGGTCTCATCAGTCAAAGACCAGAACCGATGTGGATGTTGCTACGCATTCGCCGCCGTAGGCGCTGTAGAAAGCCAACATGCCATTAAAACTGGCAAAGTCATCGACCTTAGTGTACAACAAGCCGTCTCCTGTACGTACAAAGACAAAAAGTATGGAGGCAATAATGGCTGCAAAGGTGGACAATCAGATGGAGTTTTCAGGTACATAATTGACAATGGAGGAATCGCTTCGGAAAGCAGCTACAAGACTGTGTCTCCGATTTCATTGAGCATCCCAAAATGTGAAAAGAAGCCTAGTGTAGCCAAGATTTCAAGGCAGTCTAAGCTCACTCCAATGGATGAAAACAATCTGGCCAAGGTTGTGAAAACTGTAGGACCAGTCGTTACTTGTAAGTATAACTACTAGTTTTTCAATTTGTAGCTATTCCTAGTCCTAGCTTAGCCCTAGCCTAAGGTCTAGCTCAAGATGTTGCCCTAACTATAGCTCTAGCCTTAGCTCAAGATCTTGCCTCAACTATAGCGCTAGCCCTAGCATTAGCACTGACCTTAGCTCTAGCTATAGAATTAGCTTAAACTCTAGCTTTATCTTAGCTATACCATTGAATGAAATAATTCAGTCCAACACAAATTCGATGAAAATCCATTAAAAACTGTCATTTTTCAGACATTGATGCCGATTCCCTAATGAATTACAAATCAGGCGTCGTTTCGACCAAATCAAAGCGAATCAACCATGCTGTGCTAACGGTCGGTTTCACCAAAGATTACTGGATAATCAAAAACTCATGGACACCAAACTGGGGCGAAAAGGGATACTTCCGACTGAAACGAGGAGTCAACGCGTTAAACATGGCTCAATACAACTTTGCTGCTTATAAATAATACTTATGATGTTTAATATATAATAAATGAGAGATTTAAAAGAATACTTTTAATAAATAAAAGAATTACAATGATACTTTGAAGATTATTGTAGAAAAAATATTTTTGACACTGTTCCCGACACGAAAACGACTGCTTGCCAAACCTCTTTGGCATTGCGTTTCACCCTTCTTGCGGCCAAATTTCGGACAAATTTTGACGGAAAAACAACTTTTTCTTCTTTTTGACGTGTTTTCAATCCTATTCTCGTAACATTATACATTTTTCAATATTTTTTAACCCAAAATTAGTCGATTTTTGTTGTTATTTGCAGGTTTTAGTCCGAAATGTCGCTTCGTTTGGGTCGAAATGTGACCGTCTTGGTCAATTCAACGGCTAGATTATCGACTAGCGCTCCATTGAACAAGATTTCTAATGAAGAAGCTATGAGAAAGTTTAGATCACACATTCTGCCAAATCCTGAGGTAAGTTTTTTGTTGTTTCGAGTTCGAATTTTAGGTAATAATTGATATTATAGTTGAAAAGGCCTTTAAGATTTTATAAATGGAGTTTTTAGCGTTTAATGGCTCGTTATGGAGGAAGACAGACAGTTACTGCTCTGCCTGGAGATGGTATTGGTCCAGAAATGATGGAGCACATTCAAAGAATCTTTGTCTTTGCTCACGTTCCAGTTGATTTCGAGACTGTTCCTCTTGGCTCAAGCAATCTAACTGATCCTGAAGGAGATCTCAACAGCGCTGTGGGCTCGATTAAACGGAATGGCATTGCTTTGAAGGTAAAGGAAGCTATATATAGTTATAATGAACTAAAATTCTTAAGTTTTTGTCTATATTTAGCTAATTTTCTAGTTTTAGGGTAATATTGAGACCAAGTTTGATAACCCTGAATTCAAATCTCGTAACATGGAAATCCGTCGAATCTTGGACTTATATGCCAACGTACTTCATTGCGTATCAATTCCAAGTGTTCCAACTAGACATCAGGAGCTTGACATTGTTATGATCCGCGAAAACACTGAAGGTGAATATTCTGGACATGAACATGAAGCCAAGCCTGGTGTTGTCGAAAGCTTAAAGGTAAACAGCTTTTTTAATGTTTAGCTTCTAATTTGAATGTTATTTTAGATTGTAACTCGCAATAAGATGGAAAGAATTACCCGTTTTGCCTTCGAATACGCTAGAACTTACAATAGACAGAAAATCACTGCTGTTCACAAGGCCAATATTCAAAAACTTGGCGATGGATTGTTTTTAAAAGTAAGTATTAACTTCATTAGACTTTGTTCTTGAATTTTAGGTAACAATTAATATGATATTATTCCGGAAAGTTATAAAAATAGGGTTTTTCTATATTAGCCTTATTACCTACATCAATTTGATAATTTTCCTTCAGATTGCCACTGAAATTGCCCAAAATGAATTCCCAGACATTGAATTTGACTCAATGATTGTTGATAACGCATCAATGCAGCTGGTTTCTAGACCTACTCAGTTTAATGGAGGCATTATGCTCATGCCTAACCTTTATGGTAGGTTAATATTATTTTAATGGTTTTTAGCGAAGCTTGGAGATTTTTAGGACTTGAATTGTTAATTATGATAATGTATGATTCTGCGGACGTATAAATAGTAAATTTAGTCATTTTCAATCTCAAAATTTAGGTAACATCATCTCAAACATTGCCTGTGGCCTAGTTGGCGGTCCTGGCCTAGTATCCGGCATGAACATTGGAGAACATTATGCTGTCTTCGAAACCGCCACCCGGAACACAGGAACCTCACTAGCCGGCCAAGACAAGGCCAATCCAACCGCTTTTATCAGAGCCGCTTGTGACATGTTGACCTACCTCAGCCTACCACAATATGCCAACCTGATCTCGGACGCACTGTTCAAGGCCTTGACTATCGACAAAATTCACACGGCTGACATTGGTGGTAATGCTAGCAGCTCGGAGTTGGTCGAAAAGTGTTTGGAATACATCGAACGAGACATGAACAAGGTCGGAAAGCGTATCACTCATTAGGGATGGTAATAAATGGTCTTTATCTTTGTGTGGCATAGTATTACAAGATGATTTTGGTAACTTGAAGTCTATATTCTAATTTTGGTTGAAAAGTATTTGTTTTTAGGCGGTGGGAGGTAAGAAAAATGAGGTTTTTGGCTTGAAAACAAGATGGATAACATGTTTTAGGCGAAAAAATGAAGAAAATTTAAATTTTTGTAAGGTTTTTGACGTTCTATCTTTTTAAAACGTCATTTTTGAAGAAATTTCTATCTCTCTAACATTAGCTTTGACCTTTTTTCTTCCTTTAAATGCCCTAGTTTTAGATTTTAAAATTTGAAACTTCCAAAAATACTCAAAAATGTCATTCGGTGAAACTTTTTTTTTCACTTTTGATTTCTCGAGCTTTGATTATTCAAAACAGCATTGTGTCATTTATTCTCATACTGAATATGCGTAAACAAGCGACGTCTCAACGTATAATCAAACAATATTTTGTTAGGACTTGAACAATAAATATATTTGGTAAAATACGACATCTAAGGAACTTTTTGGTAATTTTCGACGTGTCTGTCCTTTTTTTGTTATTATTTAGGTACGAGCTACCTGTGCCGATTTTTTGCAAAAACTTTCTTCCGAATCCACAGGGGGATCACGTTCAACTATGAACAATACACATATTAACTGACAGTAGTTTGATTTATTTTCCTAACAATTACTAGTACATCAACTATCATCAAGAAGGATCTACTCTATTTGTTGTGTGTTTTGTTCCTTTACCGACTTTGTTTTGTGGTCGCGGTCGCTTCGGCTAGAGTTACTGCGTTGGGATGAGGACTTGTTATGAGATGATGGTGGCATGTTCTGAAATTTTTATTTTATCGTGTTTAAAAATACAGTAATATGTACTTATTTATAGGCTACTGTGACATTTCTACACTGACCTTAATGGAACATACGGCAACTCTTCCTAGCCTACAGTACTCATAACTTAGCCTAAAGTCTTGTAACAAAGCGCACAGTAGTCCTAAATTAGCTTGCACTAGCCCTACTCTAGCTTACAGTATCCATACCTTAATTTACTATAGCCTTACTTTAGCCAACAGTATTTGAGGCCCAGCATGCAGCAACTCTACTGTAGCCTGCAGTAGCCTTACTCTGCTCTACATTAATCCTACCTCTGTTTGCACTAGCCATACTCAGGCTTACAGTACAGTTACCGTAGCTTACCATAGCTCTACAATATCCTACGGTAGCATAGCCCTAGCTTACAGAAGAGAGTAACTTATCTTACAGTAGTTTTATTATAATCTTATAAACGTACGGTAACTCTAGCCTAAACTACATACGTTGATCTACAGTATCCATACCGTAGCCTACAGTATGCTTTGCGCTAACCTGTAGTAGCCTTACTCAGTCTGTGGTATCTTTACTTAGCCCACGGTAGTTCTATACTAACTTTAATTAGCCCTACCCTTGCGTTTTTTTAGGTCATGCCAGGTTACATATCCCGACCCTAGCCTACAGTACTTTTAAATCTACCATACCGAAGCCTTCTCCTTAAATGACTTGTAGCTTTTCTGAGTCGGTGCAAACGACTGACTGAACTGGGTGCTCTGTTCTGGTGTCATTGTTCTGTCTGTTTGTAGCGTGTGCTCTGGTAATCGTTCGAATTGTGTTTTATCGAGTACGTTATTCGTTTTTGGCATCTCTTCGGCCGAATCTCTGGCTGTGCATAGCTGGTTTTCATTGTTCTGGAAATGAGAAAATTAGGTTTGAAGTTGCAAAAGTTGGCTTTGAATTGACCATATACAAGGCAAGGAGAGTTAGTGTTGGGAAGTAGGTAGTACAATTTTAGGGAGAGGGGTGGAAGTTGTGAAAGATTGTGTAAGTTTAAGGTGGATTAGAAACAATTACACTAAGAATAAGATAGATAAGGCAAGGCGAGGCAGGAAATGACTGTACCGGTCAAGAATGGATCGGACTGAACGGGATTGGAATGGACCGGATTTATACTGCATTGGGCAGGCCGAGAGAGGGAAGGGTAGGAAGGCAAGAGTAGGATGCGGTAGACCATGGAAGAGTGATATAGGGTGCGGTAGGCTAGGGTAAAGTATGGTAGGTGTATGGTAGAGTAGGGTGAAGTAGGGTAGGGTACAGTAAGGTAAGGTAAGGTAGGATAGGGTAGGGTAGGATATGCTAGTGTAAGGCAGGGTAGGATAGGGTAATGTAGCGTTGGGTAGGATAGGGTAGGGTAGGGTAGGGTAGGGTAGGGTATGATATGGTAGTGTAAGGCAGGGTAGAGTATGGTAGGGTTGGTAGGGTAAAGTACGATAGGATAGGGTAATGTAGGGTTGGGTAGGATAGGGTAGGTTAAGATACCCTAGACGAGTAAAACCTCACCTCTTTGCTCTTCGCTTTAGTTTTCTGGCTTTTGAGTGTGTTTACAGTAGGCATCTTGTAATCATCAACATCTTCAGAGCCGTGCATTGATACTCGCTGACTCGTTTCGACCACTCTATTCTGTTTTACTGGGGCGGTGGGTGGCTTTTTGGCTAAAAAAAGTAATTTACTTTGATCAATTTGAAAATCAAGGCTTTTGAAAAGAGCTAAAATGTCTTGTCGTCACTTTCCATTGGTTTGTATAATAAAAAACGACAAAACTTTTTTACCGCTTTCAAATGTCATTACATGGCTTTAGGGTAAAAAAAAAGATAAGTTCTTCAACAATCTCAAGCTCCTAAAATACGAAAAAAGTTAAAAAAACCTACGCTGAACCTTCTGTTGCGAATACGACTGCTTGAACCTGATTTGTCTATCCTTCTTCTTCATGTAGCACTGAAGGCTGAGCGAAGCCGAAAGCCCCCAAAACATGAACATACTGATGATCAAATCGGGTAATACTGAATATTCGGGCTCGATCATGCTGCTCCACCGACCGCTCGGTGTCAGGTATAAAAAGAAATGGCGGTTTTTTAAAATTTAAATTTTTTTAAAAATTAAAAAAAATTTTTTTTGAAAATATGAATAAATAAAAATAAAATTGTAAAAATGAAAAAACAAGTCTTTTTAAACATTAGAAAATTAAAAAATTTTTTTTAAAATTTTTGCACGATGCAATCAATTACTTTTTGGACTGCACTGTGCAAAGCAAATGCCATTTTTTTAATATAAAAAAGCTAAAAACCGACAAAAATAAACAAATTTATTACCACTACTAGCTGTAGAAGATAACAGTCAACAATTTGATATATCATTCTGTAAAAAAATTTGAAATGTTTTGGCAAATATGATAAGTTATAGGTATTTTTGATAGTTAAGCCTAAATTCATATATATAGACACAATATAAGTATATATTAATCTCAAATTAACTTAAAAAAGTATTTTTTTACTCTTAAAATCAATTACAACAAAGCATGGTAAAATTAAAAAAAAATCAATAATAAGTAGACGAAATGTCACAAAATCAAAAAAAAATCGATATAATGTGCACAAAATGTTAAGAACTTACAATTTTTGTGAAAGAAATGTAAATTTAACTTAATACCCATTCGTATTTTCAAACCGTATAACTGGAAAACGAAATGTCAAAAAAAGTTTAAAAAATCAATAAAAAATTAACGAAATGTCAAAAATTAAAAAATTTGTTTTAAGTCATTATAGATCAATATCATCACATTTAAGCATATTTAGTGCAATTTAAGTCGTTAAAAACCCTAGAAAATGAGTTATTACACTTAAAATCACTATTAAACCGGTCAAAATAGTAATCGATACGTTCGGCCTCACGCCGACCGCTAAGATATGCACCTATCGTGGTTTGAAAGATTCTGGAATGTGTAGCTTCACCAGCGAACAAAATTCGAGGTTGGCAGTTTTTGAAGACCGGTCTAGCCAAAAGTTCGAAGGGATCTTCCTTGAATTGGGCAGCTTCGGAGGAAATGTAGCTGTAGCTGCCACGGAATTTGTCGTCACGTAGCCAGGAGGTTCTGAAAGCGAAAAGTGATTTTTAGGGAAAAATGACAAGAATTTTCTTTACAAAACTAGAAATGGCAAGAACTTTATTTACAGGACAAAAAATAGCAAGAACCTTCTTTCCAAAGCAACAAATGGCAAGAATTTTCTTTATAAAACAAAAAATGGCAAGAACTTTCTTTACAAAACAAAAAACGACATCTCTTCTCAAAAACTATTACCTAATCAACTCCTTTGGCTCCGGAACGTCAACTTCCGACATAGAATTCTTGAAGTGTTGTGTGATATGCTGTGCCAGCTCTTCATCACTGATCCAGTCGATATGTTTGGGACCATCGCCTGACAACCAACCAACAAGAACATTTGATTGCCAGGACAGCGGTTCGAAAGTGTGTAGCTCTTTACTCAAATAGGAATCTGGAGAACAGCCTTCAACGAATAATGGAGCAAACGAGTTGGTCCAGTTGGCCCAGAAAGGCTGGTCGTACACTAGGAAGACCTTTAGTAAGGAGCCGAAGCCTGAAATGAAAATTTTGAAAATGGAAAGAAAGTTCTTGCCATTTTTTGTTTTGTAAAGAAAGTTCTTGCCATTTTAGGTTTTGTAAAGAAAGTTCTTGCCATTTTTTGTTTTGTAAAGAAAGTTCTTGCCATTTTTTGATTTGTAAAGAAAGTTCTTGCCATTTTTTGATTTGTAAAGAAAGTTCTTGCCATTTTTTGATTTGTAAAGAAAGTTCTTGCCATTTTTTGTTTTGTAAAGAAAGTTCTTGTCATTTTTTATTTTGTAAAGAAAGTTCTTGCCATTTTTTGATTTGTAAAGAAAGTTCTTGCCATTTTTTCACTTGTAAAGAAAGTTCTTGCCATTTTTTGTTTTGTAAAGAAAGTTCTTGCTATTTTTTGTTTGGTAAAAAAGTTCTTACCATTTTTTGTTTTGTAAAGAAAGTTCTTGCCATTTTTTGATTTGTAAAGAAAGTTCTTGCCATTTTTTGATTTGTAAAGAAAGTTCTTGCCATTTTTTGATTTGTAAAGAAAGTTCTTGCCATTTTTTGTTTTGTAAAGAAAGTTCTTGCCATTTTTTCACTTGTAAAGAAAGTTCTTGCCATTTTTTCACTTGTAAAGAAAGTTCTTGCCATTTTTTGTTTTGTAAAGAAAGTTCTTGCTATTTTTTGTTTGGTAAAAAAGTTCTTACCATTTTTTGTTTTGTAAAGAAAGTTCTTGCCATTTTTTGATTTGTAAAGAAAGTTCTTGCCATTTTTTCACTTGTAAAGAAAGTTCTTGCCATTTTTTGTTTTGTAAAGAAAGTTCTTGCTATTTTTTGTTTGGTAAAAAAGTTCTTACCATTTTTTGTTTTGTAAAGAAAGTTCTTGCCATTTTTTGATTTGTAAAGAAAGTTCTTGCCATTTTTTGATTTGTAAAGAAAGTTCTTGCCATTTTTTGATTTGTAAAGAAAGTTCTTGCCATTTTTTCACTTGTAAAGAAAGTTCTTGCCATTTTTTGTTTTGTAAAGAAAGTTCTTGCTATTTTTTGTTTGGTAAAAAAGTTCTTACCATTTTTTGTTTTGTAAAGAAAGTTCTTGCCATTTTTTCACTTGTAAAGAAAGTTCTTGCCATTTTTTGTTTTGTAAAGAAAGTTCTTGCTATTTTTTGTTTGGTAAAAAAGTTCTTACCATTTTTTGTTTTGTAAAGAAAGTTCTTGCCATTTTTTGATTTGTAAAGAAAGTTCTTGCCATTTTTTGATTTGTAAAGAAAGTTCTTGCCATTTTTTGATTTGTAAAGAAAGTTCTTGCCATTTTTTGTTTTGTAAAGAAAGTTCTTGCCATTTTTTGATTTGTAAAGAAAGTTCTTGCCATTTTTTCACTTGTAAAGAAAGTTCTTACCATTTTTTCTTTTGTAAAGAAAGTTCTTGCCATTTTTTGTTTTGTAAAGAAAGTTCTTGTCATTTTTTATTATCTTCACCTACCCATTTTCTCAATAGCTTCAACCTTCTTCTTCGGTAACTCCGGCCTGAACAAATGATGAACATGAGCCTTCAAATGCCCTAAGGGTACTGTAACTATAACAACATCAAAGGTTTTGTACAAATATTCTCCATTAACCAGTTTTATGACAGTCTTGTCACCTCTGTAATCGATTGTTGCCACTTTTGAATTGAGGTGAATGTTTTCAGACGGTAGCTTTGATATTAGGTCAGACAGTACTGAGTAGTACCCAAACTTGTTTAATGTAAATGAAGCAAACTTCTCTGATTGATCGTCCCAACCAGCATAGTTACGAAGAGACAGCTTGGTAATGGGTGCTGACCATTCACCTTCGTAGTAGGTCTTGTAGAATTGAGATAGAGCACGGTAGGAGGTTAGTTCTGATTCTGATGGGTTCTTTTGCTAAAATTATAAAAAATAAATTTGATAGACAAGAACTTATATTTTTCAGTAAGGTATAGTAATCTGTCTCATACAAAAGGATAAGGTAGATTATAAAACGCAACAAAGTAAAGGGAGAGAGAGTACAGTAGCACATGCGGTAAGGTATGATACACTGTAAAGCAAGGAAGTTTAGAGTAATTGCTTTTGGAAATCGGGCGGTGATTAGGAACTATCCCCCCCCTTTAGAGGAGTGTTGCACTACTAGCGGTAAAAGAAAGTTTACAGTAGGGTGCGCAGTAAGATGCACTGGGGTACTTTATTTTGTAGGGTAGGGTAAGCTAGAGTAGGTTAGCGTAGGGTAGGGTAAGGCAGGGTAGGGTAGGGTAGGGTAGGGTAAAGCAATAATATAACAGTAGAAATCATAGTGTAATAAATGCTTCTTACCTCAATAAACTCCTCAAACACCTCGTTATAAACGGTGTCAACTGTCCTGTTCCAGTTTGTCTTATCTTTAGCCAGCTCTTGAATTTCAAATTCCAATTTTTCGACAAACTTCTCAAACTCGTCTATGCATTCCTTGTCTAAACTGCAATTTCCAGTACGATAATCAGCGTTCCGAAACAGTTCATCATCGTCCATTTCACGATCAACCACTCCAAGCCGAGCAGCTATGTTATAGATGGGGTTTTCTTGACCATTAATGAATTGAGCGCCATGTTGGATGTAGCCATCGGCTAAAATACAATTTTTTCTATTTAAAAGTTAAAAATTCATTTATATTTTAAAAAATTTAAATTTCGGAAATTTAAAAAAAAATCAGTTTTAAGTTAACAAAATGTCAAAAAAATTTTAAAAAATCAAAATTAAGCTAGCAAAATGTCACAGCACAAAAAAACTCTATAGGAAGAAAATGTCATAAATTTTACAAAGACAATACCAAGTAAACGAAATGTCAACAAAATTAAAAAAAATCAATATTAAGTTGACAAAATGTCAAAAAATTTTTAAAAATTAATATCACGTTGAAAATATTTTAAAACACTTTAAAAAATCAATATCATGTTAAAAACATCTCAAAAAACAAAAAAAAATCAATGTCATGTAGACGAAATGTCAAAAAATTAAAAATTTAAAAAAAACTTCAAAACTGTAAAAATTCTAAAAATTGAAGCCTGATATACTGCAAAAAGACTAAAATTTTCATTTCCACACCCCCAAATTACAGTAATCACTTACCAAACTCGACAGGGTACACCCGACCACCCAGTCGATTCGCCGCTTCGTACAATTCCACATTGTTATAGCCTAGTTCAAGTAGTTTTTGAAAAGCAGATAAACCAGCGAAACCTCCGCCAATTATTGCTACACTAACATTTTTAGCATCTTGTTTTGAGCCTGAACTGTAGCCAAATTCAGAATACAAATCAGAAGGTGTTATTCCTAGATCAATCTCACCACATGCGCTCTGAAAAAGATAAAATTTTTATTAAAAATGTTTCAATTTAAAAAAAATATGTTCAGAAATGGGTGTTATGCATAAGGTAAAGCAGAGTAAGGTAAGCTAGTTTAAGATAGGTTAGTTATCAGAGTTCCCACGAGCTCCGGCTCTGAAGCTGGAGGCAAAGTTAAAATTTAAAAAAAAGCAGAGCCGGAGCTGGAGCTAGATCTGGATATTTGAAATTTGGGAATTCTGGTAGTTATATTAAGTTAACCTTCAAAAAAGAATTTTTTTCAAAAAAATTGAACTTTTTTCACTTTTTTAAAATTTTTAAATCAACATAACTTTCTTATATTTCTAGATATCAACTTTAAATTCACAAATCCCCTATTATGACGTATTTTACACCACTTTTTCAGTATATTACAGTGAAATTGCTGTATAACGAACTCCTCTATAACGAAAATCCCGTATAACGAACAACTCTTGAATCTCCGTCTACTACTACACAGTGCATTTAAAACTCCTGTATTACAAAACTCCTTTATAACGAACACATTTCCAATCCCCGAACGATTCGTTATACAGGAGTTCTACGGTATTTAAAACGAGTTAAAGAAAGTTTGAAAAACTTGATAAAAAGCACAATTTTTTTTGAAAATCAGCCCTTTTTCGCCTATTATTGACATTTTAAAACGCTATTACTTTGTTATAAATTGAGATATTAAAAGAAAACTTGTTGATATGTTGCAGATTAACATTTTTTACAGTATCAAAAAATTGAATTTTCAAAAAAATTTTTAAAAATTTGAAAAAAGCTGCCGTAAAAAATCGTTATTTTTCAAAAAAAATTGAACTTTTTTCAACTTTTTGCCATTTTTAAAACCATATAACTTTCTAATAAAGCCAAGTGTCAACACAACTGGTTTATATAAGTATAAGTAAATTGAAAAACCTTTTTTTAGAAAAAAAATCTTACCGCAATAAGGAGCACAAGAGAAACAGTTAATGTAGCGCTGATCCGATGATCCATACAAGGCTAGTATAACCTTTTTAACTGTAGTAAAGTTGTTTTTTGTCGTTGGAATGTGATCTTCTTGGCACCAAGGCCTAACTCTTGCGAGTCTGAAAAAAAATTTTTTTTTCAAAAATTTTAATTTTTTGAAATTTAGGTAATACTCGATATTATCATTGTTAAAAGGCTTAAAGTTATATGTATAAAGTAATTTTTACAACTATAATATACAGTAATACTATACAAATACAGTAATAACGCAAAACAAATCAATTGCACGTATTTTACCCTAAAAACCTCATTAGATCTACTATAATATTGCTATGAAAATGTGAAACAAAGCCTATTAAACCGTCTGAATGAAATATGTTTGGGAAAACAAAAACGAAGACCCTTAATTGTGACTGGACTATAGATTAGATAACTTACTCGTTCATAATGAGAGTTCTTTTATATTAATATACGTGCAACACGTATATTTGCAGAGGCGTTCTAAACCAATAGTAGAAAGAATACGTTTTTTAAAAACAGCTAGCTAATTTCTAGGGCTAAGACTCTGGGCTAGAGCTCAGGAATAGGGTTCTGGGCTAGGGCTCTGGGCTAGGGCTCTGGGCTAAGGCTTTGGGCTAGGTTTCTGGGCTAGGGCTCTGGGCTAGGGCTCTGGACTAAAAAATACAAAGCTAGCGGTCAGTTGAGTTCATTTCAAAACAATGTTTACTTTTTGAGAAAAAAGAGGATAAACGTGACCTCAACGTGCCAAGGGGAAGATAGGTAGCAATCTACATTAAGTTTTGAAAACACAACCTTTACAGTAAAACTTCTATATATATAGCAAATACCTCTATAACAAAAAGCGCCTATAACGAACAACTTTTAACTCTGCGACTAACATTATACTATACGGTGCTATTAAAACTTTTGTACAACAAATTTTCTTTATATCTAATCAATTTAAAATTTTGAAGCGCTTCGTTATACAAGAATTCCTCTATATTGACAAAGAAAAACAGTAAAAAAAATTTTAGTATTGAAAAATAAACGTTTTTAAACTTTTATCAGCACTTTTGAATACCAATGTTGCTCCCTCTCGGTAGTCGTTTTCTTATCATGTCAGTTCAAAAAGCAAAGGTCATTCTGCTCCTTGTTTTGCCCTTTATTAATAGTAAAAGTCTGGCCAGAGTGCATACAAATGTTTTTCTTAACCTACCCTATCTTACTCTGCCCTATCGTAACCTAACGAATTCTCTACTGTAGTCTTTCCTTTGCTTTTTTCTAGCTGCATCTGAGTCTTACCATAGCTAATTTAGACTTATTGTACCTCTACCTAAGCTTCAATTTAGCCTTACTCTAATTTTAAACTGACCGTGCTGTTAAAAAAAATAAAATAAAAGAAGCATACCCTCCTGCCTCCCCCCTTCCCTAACTAAATAAAAAACGCACCCCCTCTTCTCCACAAAAAAAATGTTCAATGACCGGAAGTCCAACTCATTTTGAAATAAAAACCCATCGAGCTCTCTCAAAAACACACAAAAACGTAATGTGAACGGCGGGACGAGGACGCGAAAAAAACCTCGTGTTGGGCCGTTCCGTGCCTCGTTTTTTGCGAAATTGTGGACATTTCTTTTTGCTATAATCACAAAAACCCTTAAATTAAGCCGCTTTACGTGGAGAAATATGCATTTTGAGATGTTGGTTTGTTTAAAAATGGCATTTTTTTAAATTTCAAAATTTTTGAAAATATTTGATATTACAGTATGTAAAGAGAGTACTGTCTATTCTTTTTCAAAAAGTTTAAATTTATTTTGCCAAACAAATGAAAAACAAGATAAAATTAAAGAAAAAGTACTAATTATGCCAGACGTAGTTCATTAAAAATAAAAAACTTACAAAAACATACTATTAAAGAAGAAAAACATCTTATTCATACTACACATTTTTTACTATGAAAATATAAAAACACAAGTGCTACACTACTCTAGCCCTAGCCTCAAGCCAAAATTTTTAAAAACTGTCTATGGCGCACCAAAAGTTAAGCAGTAGTAAAGCTATGAAGCTGTCTAGGCAAAACTTTAAGTATGGCTAGGCTAAAGCTACCGTAGAACAAGGGCACGGCTACGGTATGGCTAAGGTTGAAATAAACTAACAGTAAGGGTATAGTTGAACTATAGCAGGCTTAAGACAAGGCTACGGAAAGGGTGGGTTAGGCTAGAGTTAAAGTTAGAGACGACAAACGGACCAGGCCGGCCTTGAGCAAAATTACGATCGGACCAAGCCTAAAATTCAGGCCCGGCTCGTTTCTCATCTCTAGCTAAAGTGAGGCTACGATAAGGCCATGGTAAGGCTAGAGTAGAAGAGCAGAAGGACTAGGGCTAAGGTAGAGCTAGAATAAACGAAGAGAGTAGCGTAGAGCTAAGATAAGGCTAGGGCTAGAGTAGCAACAGGTTAAAACAGGAGTAAGGCTAGGGAAAACTAAAACAGATAAATCTAAAAAGAATTAGGGTAAAGCTACAATACAGTAGTGTCATAACAACATGTATATAATGTCAAACCACCTCAACCTTCCACTATTTTTATAAAAACTCCTTTTTTAAATGACCATGCGCCCTTTTGAATACATTTAATGCTATGGAAACAATACTCGACTTTTAAACTATATTCCTCTTAAAAAGTCAAAAGTTAATAAAAACTTGACAACATGTTTTTCTTACTCTTTTACTTTGTATTTAACTACTACTTTTTAATTAGTGTTATCAGTCTAAAAATTCTAGTGTTTTCTCCAACTATAAGTTATTCTCATATGAAATTTAATGCAAAAATAGCGGAGGCTTTGGCTGAAGATGGACACAATGTGGTGAGTAGCTTTGTAAAACCTCTAAAAGGTCCGGGTAGAAAGTTCTCTAAAACTTAGGCCTCGGCACCGGTTTGGTTCTTCTCTTTCTGACTGAAACAATCATGATAAAGGGCCAAGGTCCTGGTTTGGACTAAAAATCTTTTGTTGCAAAACTTAAGCTGGGCCTCAAAGGCTTGGGCCCATATGTGCCAACTTGGATTCTTTAAAATTTGCTTTGGCCCGCCTTGTCCAATTCATAGACCATTGTCGGGCCGGGACCAGTTTAAGCCAAGCCTAGTGCACTCTATTTCAATTTCACTGTCCTTATTTTACTTAACTATAAACTAAATTTAAGCTTTATTCTCGTCTTACCAAAGCTTCTTTACCCGCACCCAAGCTTATCTTCAAGCATAATTTAGAACTTCTTTAGGCCTGCCCCGCTCCTAAACTGTGTAATTAAAAAGGGACTAACAAAATGACTTTTCAGACCCTTCTTGAAGTTTACTATGATGAAAAGCCTGGTTTGTACAACCATTTCCAAGCTGGTATTAAAGTTAATTTTTGGAAATATGATTTTGACTGGCCTAGAAGACATGATGCCAACTTGAAAAACTATCAACAAAGTAGCAGTATTTTAAATCACATTTTAACACCATATTATTTGTTATTATCTTTTATTGCTTCACAAAGGTATAATCGACTGGCTGATGCTTGTGAAAGTAGGTTTATTACAACTTAATTAACGTGTCTAGTTAAATGTTACTGTATATACTATTTACTTTAAAGTAGAGCTACCTTCAGTATTGCAAACGTAAAGGTAGATTTCTAAAGTAACGTCGCTTTTCAGATTTAATAAAGACATCTATAGTTGCTGATATAGAACGTCAAAATTACGATGTCTTCTTCAACGAACAACTTACTCTATGTGGCTTTGGAATTGGTCATTTTGCTGAAATTAAAATTAATGTTTGGGTATCAAGGTAAGCCTTAACCGTAGTCCAAAGTTACAGCCCAGAGCCATAGCTCAGTAGCCAAGAGCCCTAGCTTAGAACTCTAGCTCAGAGCTCTGTCTCAAAGCCCTAGCCCAGAGCGCTGACCCAGAACTCTAGCTCCAAGCCCTATTTCAGAGAGCCCTAGTCTTAGCCTTAGCCAAAAGCTTTAGCCAACAGCCTTAACCCAGAGCCCTATTCTAGAGCCCTAGCTTTGAGCACTAGCCCAAGCCCTTGCCAAGAGTCCTTGCCCAGAGCCCTATCCCAGAGCCCTAGCCCAGAGCCCTAGTACAAAGTCCTAGTCCAGGGTCCTAGTACAGAGTCCTATCCCAAAACTTTATGCTATAGAGTCCCAGCCAAGAGAGCCCTAGCCTTGACCCTCACTTAAGACCTGGTCTTAGCATCAGCGCTAGCTCTAACTTTGACACTTCTCAGCTTTGTCATAGCTTTGCTCTAGTACTAGCCTAAGCCTAAACCCAGTAACTATTTCTAGTTTTAGACATCGATTCTTGAACTTACATAGCAAAGCAGGTAAATTTTAAAAAAATCGATTTTAGCTGCCCACTAAACTCAGCTATGTCATCAATACTAGGTTTGCCATCGGCAGCTTCTTGGTTGCCAGCAACTTTTGACAATCTAAATACGAACGATATTATGAGTTTTACTGATCGCTACTATAACATGTTGTCAGGATTCATCACTATTCGAGGATTTCAACAGCTAGTTGAGGCAGAATCAGAAGTTTTTAGGGTAAAATACGGTCATCAAGAAGATCAATTTTATGCGAAAAGATTAATGCATTTCGATTTATCTAAAATAGCTTCAGAATCATCCTTGATTTTTGTAAATTCAGTCGATTTCTTGGATTTTCCACGACCAATAACTAGTCGGATTGTTAATATTGGTGGAATTATGACGGATAATGTTGATGATAAGAATAATATTGGACTTATACACAATCCTGAGCTTAATACTGTCTTGGAAAAGCATGCAAAAGTGATTTATATGAGTATGGGCACAATGGGTAATCTACAAAATAATGTTTTACAGAAGCTTTTAAAGGCTTTTTCAATGTTTGAAGAGTATTTCTTTATCGTTAGGCTTGGTAGTGATAGTGAAGTAAGTAAATGTTTTAACAAAAAATTTAAACAATGTTATATTACAAAAAAAGTTACTATCAGGAGTAGAGATAGAATAAAGTAAAGTTATGGTACGGCCGAAGAATTTACAGTAAGCCTGAGATATACCGCAGGTAAAGCCAAAGTATCTAATTCTGTGGCAGAACAAAGCTACACTAGAATAAGCTAAAGAATGTCTATTGTAAAGGCTAGAGTACGCCTAGTGTAAAGGCTATGAAAAGTAAGACTGGGTAGGATTACAGTGTAACTGTAGGGAGAGTGTATGTCTAGGAAAAAGATTAAAGTAAGGCTAGAGTAAAGACTGCGGTATGCCTAAGAAACGACTAGGATACGCCTCAAAAGAAACTAGAGTAGAGTTAGAGTAGGGCTAGGCTAGAGCCAAGCTAATGCTGAAGTAGGGTTAGGTTAAGGGCTAGAATAGGGCTATGGTAAGACTAGTATAGGGCAGGGGTAGTGCTAGAGTAAAACTAGAGAAGGGCTAATGTACAGCTAGTGTAGGGCTAAGCAAGGCTAGGGTAAAACTAGGTTAGGAGGAAAAGTTACAGTAAACTTTCACAAGTAATTTTCTAAACACTTTGTTTACAGATAGTACCAACAAACCCGAACTACAACAATATCTACTTTGTTGAATGGGTAGTTCAACACAAGTTACTCTGTAAGCTCTCACCGCAAACTTTAAAACTGATGCTGAAAAGAATATAAAAAACAATCAATTTCAACTTATTTTAGGTAACAAAAACGTAAAACTCTTTATCACTCACGGCGGCTACAACAGCATTTTAGAAGCTGTTGATTGTGCTGTGCCATTAGTAGTGATACCACTGTTTGGAGACCAAATGTTTAATGGAAAGTTGGTCGAAAAGCAAGGATTTGGAAAAGTTATATCTCAAAACGCTATATTTGCCAATCCAATGATCATAAAAGATGTTATACATGAAGTCCTAGACAATGAAAAGTAAGTCTAGTAGAGTAGGGTGGGGCAAGACCGGGTATGATAGAGTAGGGAAAAGTAGCGTAAGGTACAGTATTATAGGGCAAGATAGGGTAAGGTAGAGTGGAGTAAGAAAGGATAGAGTCTTCTAAACCCTAAATCCAAAAATTTTTGCGGAGTTACCTAATATTTGAGTATATTGACATAGCCTTAGAGAAATTGCAAGAAACCGTGTTACGCAACGTTTTCTTATATAATATTGATGATTTTTGTAATATCTGCTTCGATTGTTTAGCTTTACTGATAACGTCAAAAGAATGCAAAAACTCTTAAAGAAACGACCATTTTCGGGCACACAAACGCTTCAGCAGTATGTGCGACTTTTAGAAGCTGGTGAGGGTCACCTTCCTGAATATAGACCGGCTTCTCTTCAACTCAACTTTATACAGCTTTATAATTTGGACATATATGTTATGTTTTTGGTTGTAACTTTATGCATTTTCTTTACAATTTACAACTTTGTAAGTATTTTAGGTAAAATATTTTGCAAATATTGTCGAAATTTTAAAAAATTTAAAAAAGTATGAACTTTATAAGTAATACAATGTTTATTTCTACCGGTATCTTTGAGTGTATATTTCGATGTATGAACAAAGTGTAAGGTAAAATACGAAAAAGAAAAAAATAAATGAAAATAAGTAACAAAACTACAAAAATAGAAATTATATGTACAATTAAAAGCGTATGTACTTTCAAAAAAACGTTATTGATGAGATAATAGAAGAAAAAGTGACAAAAATGTCTGTTTACTGTATAGTAACAGAATACAGTAACCAGTAAAAGTAATGCGAAAATAAAGAGAAAGTTCATAGCATACTAATAAATATACCGATATCACTATGAACAAGGACAAAATACAGTACCCCTGAGTTGAATAATCCTTAAGATTTAAAAAGTTATAGTAGAAACAGTTTTGATCATGTACTATGTTTCAGTTCGGGAAAACAAATTTTAGGCTTAAAAACCGCTGAGTTTAAAAATTAAGCCTTAGGCTTGATAAAGAAAATTTTCACTTAAAAATCAAATCTTAGGCTTAAAAATAAGTTTTAGGCTTAAAAAAATAATTTTAGGCTTACAAATCAAACTTTAGGCTTAAAAATGAAGCTTAGGCTTAAAAATCAAATTTTAAGCTTACAAATCAAACTTTAGGCTTAAAAATGAAGTTTAGGCTTAAAAATGAAATTTTAGGCTTTAAACAGAAGATTCATGCTAAAAAATGAAGCTTTAAGCTTAAAATTTAATTTTAGACTTAAAATATTAGTAAATGACCAAAACTTTTAACCACTACCTTTTAAAATCCAGGAATAATACAATAAGCGACCAACGTACTAAAGAACAAGTACAATAGCCAACATCCAATAAAGATGGCTGTTGCGATCAGCTTATACTTCTTTGGACCGCCAAGCTCACCTCTCACTTGGCTATGATATCTTCTCCATTGCAACGTTGCAAAACATACAATGGAACCGATCAAGAACAAGGTAACACTTGAAGCCAATGTGCCTGCCTCAACCTTGAATTGAGTGCCATTTTGGGCGTGGTAAACTGCCGCACAAAGCCAAGCGATGCCAATACCTAGGAAGACATTAACAGCGTTTGAGCCGGTGACGTTGCCTATTGAAGAGTCGGCGGTGTTGTCCATCTTGGCCGAGGTTATTGAGGCGAATGTGTCTGAAAAGGAGAAGATAAATATTGTAAAATCAATAAAAAATTTTAAAATTTGATAAAATTGACAACAAAATGTCAAAAATGCAAAAACCAATAAGAAATAATAAAAAATAAAAAACCAATAACAAAATGTCAAAAATAAAAAAAAATCAATAACGAAATGTCAAAAATGTAAAAAAATAAAGACAAAACGACTAAAATTTAAAAAATCAATGAAACAACAAAAGTATTAAAAATCGATAACAAAGTGTCAAAAATTCAAAAATCAATAACAAAACGTCAAAAATAAAACAATCGATAGCGAAGTGTCAAAAATGTCATATAAAATCATTAAAAAACGTCTTGTCGTCATTTTACACGAACCTTCAAAGCCAAAAACGACAATTCTTTCCCTCGTTAATATTTTTTGATTTTTGTGTTTTTGACACTTCGTTATCGATTTTTTTTGACATTCTGCTACAGTGACAATCAACAAAAAAAAACAAAAAAAAACGATTAAAAAATAATTTTGAAAAAAAGTGAAAAAATGTAACATACCAGGTAAGCTAGTGCCAAGAGCCACAATAGAAATGGCTGTAATCGAGTCTTTCAGTCCAATTGAACATCCAAACATGGCTGCTACATCACCAATAAATGCCGTCAGTACTCCAATGGAAAAGATTGATACAATGAAGCATAACCAGCCTAAAAAATGTTTTATATTCTAGTAAGGTTACTGTAGGGTATGTAAGATAAGCTATGGTAGAGGCAAAGCAAAGGCAGGACAAAGGCAGAGCAAAAGATGGGCAAAGCAAGGCAAGGCAGAGCAAAGGCAAGGCAAAGGCAGGGTAAAGGAAATGCAAAGGCAGGGCAAATGCAGAGCAAAGGCAGGGCAAAAACAGGGAAAAGCAGGGCAAAAGCAGGGCAAATGCAGGGCAAAGGCAGAACAAAGGTAGGGCAAAGAAAGGGCAAAAGCAAGACAAAGGCAGGGCAAAGGCAGCTCAATGACAGGGCAAAGCCAAGGAAAGGCCAGGGAAAGGCCAGGGCAAGGCCAGGACAAGGCAAAGCAGAACAGTCTTACCATTAAAGTAATCAGTAGGAGGTATCAACGCAAACAATAGCTTCCATGGCAACGAAAAGTAATGTAGAACGACTTCACGATTACTTAAAGAACCATCTCCATCCAAGTCTTCAATCTCCATAGCATCAGAGAACTGTTGTCGCCATGACGAAGATCCAACCATAGCCAAGGTGTTGGCGTTTGTTAGCATTTTATCAACAAAACTCTGAAAAAGAATGGCATTTTATTGTTTTTCGTTTTAAAAAATGGCAAGAACTTTCTTTACAAAACCCAAAATGGCAAGAACTTTCATTACAAACCTCTTACCTTAAACTCTTTATCTTCAGTGATCAAAACCTTGCATCGAGTATGAGCCCCCAGTACTGGCCGACCATCAGCACCATCCTGTCCTTCCTGATTCTTCACATGCCATTGTGGTGCCTCCAACTCCACAAAGAAGTCCTCAGTCTTCTCATATTCATCATCATTGATGATCTCTATCTCAATCTCAGCCTTAGTTTGACCATCTTGAAAGCGAAGCTCGCCAGCTTGACCAATATAGTCCTGACCATCCTTGGCAGCACCATCAATAGTCCGGAATGGCAAGGAAACTGCACCACGTGCACCACGATGTCTCTTCACGTCAAGGATTAGTACTCCAGCGTTCTCTGCGACCTTGAACACCTCGGATTCGAAGGAGAAAGCTCCACCGTGATCATCGTCCACGACCAGCACGGTCGCCATGGAAGCCTTGCCAATTTGAGATGGCACTTTCTGATCTTCATTAGACTCGAAGGAGGCGTTGAGGTTGGTCAACTGAACGAAGAATTGCTCGTCTTCTTCGTAGACGTCGTTGTCCACTATCGGAATCGATATTGTTTTACTGAAAGGGTAGAGTAGATTAGGGTAAGTAAGGGTAGCGTAAAGTAAGATATGATAGAGTAAGATAAATCTAAAAAACTCACATAGTTTCATCAGGTTCAAACTTCAAAGTCCCCTTAACAGGCATAAAATCGTCGTACTCCTGAGCCGAATCCGCCACAGTATGGTAATCGACCGTGACCACAGTAGGAACACTGAATGATCCTCGATCACATCGCACCTTAACCTCAACTTCACCAATGTTCTCCAAACACATATAGTTGGCTGGGTCAAACTCCACAATCACCATTTTTGGCTTCTGAGGCATGAAAGGTGGGGAATCTGGTTCTACCGACTTTTTTCTCAATTTCTTGGTCAAATCTCCAGCGCCCATCATCTTATGTGTAGCCTGGATTCGGTAGAAGGCCCGAGACTTTGGCTGGGCTTTTACCACGGATTCTGTAGCCAGCTTTTCCAGCTCTTCTATTGATAAGTCCGGGTTTTCGGCTCGCAATCGGCGGAACATCTCGAGGTATTGACGACGATGGTCTTCGAAGGCGGCTACATCAGCGTCTTTTGGTGAGGGGCCAAGCAAGGCTTTTCTGAAATGTTAACATTAGTTTTTAAAACCTATTTTTTATGTTAAAAGGCCCAAAAGTTAAATTAAAGATGAGAAATTTGAAGTTTTAAAAATTAGTCTTTCTTCCACCCGCTAAAAATCTTTCTCCAACCCGCCAAGACGCAACTTCAAGCCGCGCCCAGTATTTATCGGCCGAAAAATAAATTATTCTTTGAAACCTTATTTTACCTGTCGAAGACCTGTCAATAACGATCAGCTGCTTTAGTTTTGCGAGTTCTTAACTTATTTTAAGTTGTTCTTTATACTAATTTGATTTTCAGGCTGTTTAAAATAATTTAGAGATAAAATCAATGCCTAAACTGATCGAAATTCGTCGGATTTAGGTAACAAAGACCGTGAGACATCAAACATCTCAAAGGTAAGTTAATATTCTTTGAATGTTTCGTGTTTAGAAGCTGAAGATGAAAGTAGAGAATTTGGAGAACGATTGAAAGGATATTGAGAAAGACTTTGCTTGTTTTGAGAGCTGTTTTAGGACCTTAACATCGAATATTTCAACGGTAGGTTAATATTCCTTGAATTTCTTTGTGTTTAGAAGTTGAAAAAAGTTTAGAGAAATTGAAGTATATTTTAATGGACTTCAAAGTTGATTCCTCTAGTCCTGAAACAACGACCAAAAGGTTTCTAAACATTGAAAAGAGATTCAAAGGGCATTGATAAAGATGTTGTTTGTTTTGAAAGCTGTTTCATGAAACTTAACATCAAATGCCTCAAACGTAAGTTAAAATTTGGTTTTCTTGAGTCTAGAAGTAAAAGGACAGGTATATTCAGCCAGAGTTGTGCATAAACTACTTCATCTCTTCAAAATTGAATAATATTCAACGAGTAGGAACTTCAACATCACGTATCTCAAAAGTAATATATTATAATATTATTTTGTTTTTTTTGTGTTTAGAAGCTCAAAAATAGTGTACAGAATGTAAAATACGTGATCACTCTTTGACAATTGCAATTGTTTCAGGACTCAAAAATGAAATATCTTAAAGTTAAGTCAATATTCTGTTGATTTTTTTTAGTTCAGATTCTAAACAAGAATGTGAAGAAAGTAATCTAATTAGTAATAGATCTGCTTGGTCCTAACAGTACTAATTTTAACTGCTTTTTTTAAAACAATCTACAAAAACCTACTCGACATCGCCATTGCCATTAATCAATCCATTCTTTTTGTCGCCATTACCCAATCGATTTGGCCGATTCTTGACAAACGATGTCATGTTACCACGCAGTAACCGTTGACCCATACTGTGAGCATGTTTGTTACAAATAAAAGCTGTTAGTACGGTAAGAGGGAAGCATAAGAAGGTCACAACCGCTTCCCAAACTTCGACGACTCCAGGCGAAAATACGGAAATGATGGCGAATAACCAGATATAGGCAAAGGTGGACCATGCTACAGTGACCCAGAAAACATCGACTCGATGGACTTTTCGAATTTCAGATGATGGGACTGCCTGGAAATAAAGTTTTTGGTATTCGTCTAAAAATCCTGGTTTATGCAAAAAAAAAAACTAAAAAAAATTTTTTTTTCAAAACTTCAAAAAACCTACCAAAATGCAAACAGCGATGATGATAAACAGATTGAAAGCGGCTGAACCAACAATAGTAGAAGGGCCCAAGTCGCCAGCTTCAAATTTATTACCAAAGATCTCAATGACACTCAGCAATATCTCAGGTGCAGATGAACCGAGTGCCATTAAGGTCAAGTTGGACACAGTTTCGTTCCATACTCGGACTAATACCATGGTTTCTTGACCATTCGGTTTTTTTATTTTTACAGCTTTCTCTTGCGATGTTATCACTTCTATTGCGGCCATGAATCTGAAGAGATCAGGTTGTTAATGCCATTACTTATATTATATAACTTAAAAATTGTTGTGTTAAGCAGATACAGCATTGAAAGTCACGCTATTTGCTATTAAAAGTTTTAAATTGGTAATTTAACCTTTGGCAAGGTTATAGTCATTTGCAAATGTCGAAAATTCAAAAAAGTTCGAATCCGCCTGGAAACTACTGGACATTTTGCATTTTTAAAGGGCTGTAACTTTTTTATTAACTGTCATATCTTAACCAAACCCTGTCTAAACCTACATTATTATGTGTGGTACAAAACGCTTATTTCAAAATTTTAAAAGTTTTAAAATTTAACAAAAAATGAAAAAATATAAACAGTTTTACGAAATTTTTAGCTTTACTTACCGGTCAGATACGATGGAGACGCCATAGAAAAGATAGGCCAATGATAAGAAGTAGATAAAGGCTCGGAGACAGCGGTCGAATGTTGTTAGACCTTCCTGAAATAAAAAATGTTTTGTAAAGAAAGTTTTTACAATTTTACGTTTTGTAAAGAAAGTTCTTGTCATTTTTTGTTTTCTAAACAAATTTCTTGCCATTTTTTGTCTTGTAAAGAAAGTTCTTGCCATTTTTCGTTTTGTAAAGAAAGTTCTTGCCATTTTTTCTTTTCTAAAGAAAGTTTCTGCCATTTTTTATTTTGTAAAGAAAGTTCTTGCCATTTTTTGCTTTGTAAAGAAAGTTCTTGCCATTTTTTGCTTTGTAAAGAAAGTTCTTGCCATTTCATTAGATAGTGCTAATGAAGACGTATTTTACCCACCTGAGGCTGCCATACCGGTAATATCACCCCCGGTTTGCATGGTTTACTATCCCAGCACGTTTCACCCGTAAAATCCGAGGGTGTGGGTGTGGTTGTGGTAGGGAACACTAATGTGGAATGATTTCGACCGACATTGAATACGACTGCATTTATCGACCGTATTGATTGTGAATTGACTGTATTTGTGCTTAATAGTATTAGTACTGTAGTTAGGTAAAAGGTACTGTATATTAAAGGTAGAGGTAATGTTCGTAGTGGTTTTTGTAGCATTTTGAGTAGGAATTTGGGTATACGGTAATATGAATTTAGTACTAGGGTATTGAGTATCAAAATGAGTATTGTAGTACTTGTAATGAGTAGAGGTATACCCTTGTGTTAAATATAAGTAATAGAGTACTAAGTACCAATTTGAATAGTATGGTACTATAAAAGACCTTGGAGTATAAAAAGTACAGTTATAGTACTAAATTAGTACTGAGAGTTCCAAAAAGTACCCTTAAGATATAGCACTAAGTTTATGTAGTAATAGGTCAATATAGTACTATCGTTATGTAGTACTGAATTAGTATAGTACTAAGTATATATAGTATCAAATCTGTATAGTACTAGAATAGTAAAATAGCACTAGTCCGCCAACTATTTATAGTACTAATGGGCAAGTAACTTATCCAGTACGTACCCAAAAACAATATTTTAGTAGCTGAACTCAATCCCAACTCGATATTTACCTTAATATAGCACAATATAATACTAACAATACAACTCCAATATTGTAGTCGCGATTACCACAATATATTACTATTGTAAATGTGCTGCCATTTCACATTCAAATTGCGTCTGAAAACACTATGTAATCGAATGAGACCGGAATAAACAAAAACCGCGACAATAATAAGATATTACACTGCAAAATATATAATTGGGTGTTTTCGATGACCTCCTAACGTGTCATCAACGTCGAAACCGCCGACTTTTTTTCGATTTTTCTGTGAAAAAAAAGATTTTAGCAGGCAGTTCAAAGAGTGTGGGTAATACATTTTAATATAAATGGCAACGAATGATAGGCTTAAACCTCAAATTTTTGTTTTAAAAAATAAATAAAACTAGGCTTAAAACTGAACTTTTAGGCTTGAAAATGAAGATATAGGCTTAAAAATGGATAGTTAGACTTAAAAAAGAATTTCAGTTTTAAAAAATAAACTTTAGGCTTAAAAAATGAATTTTAGGCAAAAAAATGAATTTTAAGCTTAAAAAAATGTATTTTAGGCTTAAAAAATGAATTTTAGGTTTAAAAATGAATTTTTGGCTTAAAAAATGAATTTTAGGGTTAAAAAATGAATTTCAGGTTTAAAAATGAATTTTAGGCTTAACAATGAATTTTAGACTTACAAGTGAATTTTAGGCTTAAAAAATGAATTTCAGGCTTACAAAATAAATCGTAGGCTTAAAAATAAAAAACCAAGCTTAAAATAACAATTTTGGGTTCGAAATTTAAACTTTTGAAAAACGAATAAATTTTAGAGAAGTTTTTGTAAAACAAACAGGTGAATTACTCAATGGTAAAATTAGTTTTTGTTGTTGTAAAAGTTGATTAACTACTCGCGAACCCTAACTTTCTACTGATTTTATTCAGGCAGGTGATTTCAATTAGTCTGGTCTGTTTACTATCTTAATTTTTAAGTAAGGTCAAAAATGATTTTTTTTAAAAAAAAAATTTTCAAGCTTAAACTTAAAATTTAGGTTTAAACAGTAAAATTATAGAGTTAAAAATGAAACTAAAGCTTAAAATTAACTTTAGGCTTAAAAATAAATCGAAAACTTTAAAAAACCACAACTCTTTCACCCCATAAAATATTATTGTAGTTTTTGTAAATAACAAATATGAGCAGACCAATTAGTTTTAAAAAGCAATTATCAATGTTAGTTGCTCAGCTACAGGTATTACCTTGCTATTAATACTACTGCTTCGCTTGAAGCTTGCTAATTCTTAGATTATCCCAGGATTGATCTTATGTTACTTTTGTTCACTTCTACTAATAAGCAAGGCCAGGGCCGGGCGGGGACTTTTGACCTGGGAGCGAGGGTAAACGTCGTCCCCCCCCTGTGGAAAACATCCACAGGGGGGGGGGACCACGTTCAACTTTTTTTCGCAATTTTTTTTTCTGGGGAGGGGGGGGGGTTCCGCGCCCGGCCGTGAGCAAGGATTATATTAGGCGGTACATCGTAGCTAGGGCTACGCAGTTCATACCTTAGCCTTAGTCAAATTGTAAATGAAATTTTGATTTTAAACATAACTTTGGGATTAAAATGAATTTTTATATTGATATCTCACCCTAGCCCTGCTTAGCCTTATTTTAAATTTGCTAGTTCTACAGTACCGCTATCTTAACTTAACTTTGCTTTACGTGAAAACCAAAAAACTGTAGCTGAAAGCTGTAAAAGTTCAGAGTTGAAACCCAACCTTGGTGTGCCGAATTTAAATTCGAACTTTGAAAACACAAACAAAAGTTAAAAGTGAATAAATTTGAAAACTTTTTAAAATGGCAGAACGGAAAAAGTAACGAAATTCGATCCGTTGGAAAAAACTTCGATGATATCAATTTCTCATCCTATTTGACTATATTATCTTATACTATCACATGTTAGTGATAGCATAAGATGATATGGTCACATAGACGTTGATACGTACTATGGTGATCAAAGTACGATGGTATAGTGCTATAAATCTTTTTTTTCTTCAAAATTCAAGTTTTTTTAAAAAAATAATGGCCGTAGGCCAAAATGACATAGCCAACATACCGTGGTATACCAAGACGTACCAAACCCTCAATAAAGTACTAAGATAACATGGCATGTCAATTTTTTTTTTTCAAATTGACCGCAAATTTTAATTCCGCTTAGAATACATTTACTATGGCGAATACAACGACCCGCTTTAAAGTGCTACGTTTGCTATGTGGAGACATACATAGTGTAATATGAAGTATGTGAGATTTAGTTAAGGCCATTAATTATGAATTTGCGTGAATTATGCACAGTAAAAAAGAGCATATTTAGAGAAAAAATGGGTTTTTCAGACTGTACTTTACGTACCCTGCCGTACTGTGCCTTGCCCTGGCCTTGCCCTGGCCTTGCCCTGGCCTTGCCCTGGCCTTGCCTTGCCTTGCCTTGCCTTGCCTTGCCTTGCTAGCCTATCCTACCCTACCCTACCCTACCCTACTTTACCCTACCCTTCCCTACCCTACCCTGTCCTACCTTACCTAACAAAAGCTTTCCCTACTCTATACTACTCTAACCTACTTTACCTTATCTTGTTCTATCATACCCTACCCTACTTTATCTTATAAAGCCATAAATGACACTTAGTTGGCCTAAACATCTATATGTTTTTTTATACCCTACCCTTTAACAAACCATAGTAGCTTTTTTAACAAAACAAAAAAAAAGTTCCGCGTTAAAAAATATTTTTGACATTATAGAGAAAAGTTCCAAAAAATTTCCTCTTCCCTTCCCCCTTTTTGCTTTATTTTTTATTTACTCCTATACAATGTCAAATGTTGTTTGAAAGCTGAGTAATTGTAAAGTTTAGGCACGCCATTTCCTCCTCTATTTGCAAACTTTTTGCTAAACTAATTTGGCCGTTCGTTCTCTTCACAACAAAATAAAGAGACATACTCAACATGTACCTAAATTTTTCTCGGTTTTAGTCCAGAGCCCTAGCTTTAGCCCTAACCCAGAACTTTAAGCCAGAGCCTTAGCCCAGAGCCCTAGCCCAGAGCCCTAGCCCAGAGTCCTAGGCCGTGAGGTCTAGCTCGAGATCCCTAGCCCAGCCCCCTAGACTACAGTCCTAGCCCAGAGCCCTAGCCTTACGTTTAGAACTAGCCCAGAGCCCTAGCTTAGAGCCCTAGCCTTAAGTTTAATCCTAGCCCAGAGTTCTAGCCCGAGAGTTTTAGCTCGAGAGCCCTAGCCCGGTAGTTCTAGCCCAGAGCCCTTGCCCAGAGCCCTAGCCCAGAGCCCTAGCCCACAGTCCAAGCCCAGAACCCTATCACTAGCGAGACATGAAAAACGGGTCGGCGCTAATCTAAATTTTGGTCGGGCCGGGCTTGGAAATTCCGCAAAAGCCCGGCCCGTTTCCATGTAAAAAACTTGGGGCCGGACCTGAGGGAAAGTCAAATTGGGCCGAGCCTATTTTTTAGTTCGCTAATAGCCCTAACTCTAACCCAAACCCCTACCTTAGCCCAGAACCCTAGTTTTAGCCTTAGGTACTGTAAAAAAAAATTTTTTTAAATTTCAAATTCTGTGAATTTGTTAAGCGCCAATTCTTTGTCCCAAGGACGTTACTAGTAATATGGTCTATGTAAACCGGAAGTAAGCATGACATGATATGTCACGTAAATACTCTTATATATTTTGCTAGTCAATTGGAAAGTTGTGAACGCTTGTGAATACGGTAAGGGGATGACACAAACGAAGAATAAAAAAAGCTGGATTCGATTTTTAAGCCTAAAGTTTCATTTTTATTGCTAAACTTCATTTTTAACCCCAAAATTTTATTTTTAAGCCTAAAATCCGTTTTTAAACCTAAAGTTCTTTATTAAGAATAAAATTCAGTTTTGAAGCCTAAAATTAATTTTTAAGCCTAAAAATAATTTTTAAGCCTACATTTAAATTTTAAGTCTAAAATACATTTCTAAGCCTAAAATTGTATTTTTAAAGTTAAAAATTCATTCTTAATCCTAAAATTTACTTTCAAGCCTAAACCTTGTTTTTAAGCCTAAAATTTTAATTTTAAACCCAAAAACCCCACAAATTAGACAATTTTTCGCTTACAAAACAAGCCTTATTTTGGCATTGTTCGCTAGCCACCCGACCATTCAATGCGATGTGTTTTCCGTCGCCGTAATCAAGCCCTCCGGGCGAATTGACGGTTATTTAAGAATTCGGAATCTGGGCGCAACAAAAAACCGTTTTTTGCTCGTTTTCCCGCCTTAAGAGGGGCGAATAAATAAAAACAGTCAATAAATTTGGCTGTCAATTTGTCTGAAGAGTCTTGGAAACCCTCAGGCTTTTTTTTCAGAACGGACTTGAATCCGAGCCTTAAAAGAAGAAAAGAATCCGAGGTTTTGAAACGTCAAGTCGGTTTAATTATTTATGATAAGGAAATGGGAGGGAAGTTGAAACTTTGAAAGCTGATTTTTTAATTTTAGGATGAAACGTCAACTAGGGCTAAAGCGAGATCCAAAGCTACAACTAGACTTAAAATTAAGGCT